TTGCTGCGTACTTGGTTCCAGAGCCTGTCCAGCAGCCTCCGCCGCCAACGTGGGCGTCGTCGTCGGCTTCGCGTTCTCGTGCTGGCATTTGTCAGGAGGACAGCCAGCACCTGCGGTCCGCGCGAAGCAAGGACGACGTACGGGCGCTCTTCAACCTGATGATGACATGCAGGTGGCTGTATGCTGAGCTGCCGTGGACCTTACCAAAGTGGTGCCTGAGTGAAGCGTACGAAGGCTTTGGACGCGAACACCACGAAGCCACCATGAGTATGGTCGTCCACACAACATGGCTGGATGAATTCCAGCTCGACCTGAAGACTGGGGCTGAAGAAGCAGAACCACGCTCCGCAGAGGCAAGGCCAATGCCACGCTGTCCCAGAGCGGCAGGCAGAGTGGCTGCGGCAGCGGTTCCTCGTTCACTCATGGTTGGGCATCACGTGGGCAAGCACGTGCTCTTTCCTTCGCACAGCACGAGCCTTCTCGACTTCGTCAGAGGCAGCATCCACACCGCTGTCCTGTGCGTTTGCGAAGTTTGGTCGCATCCACTTTGCCTCTCTGCAAGCTCTCGAAGAATGGTGTCACGGCAACGCGCCAGCAGAGTCCAGTGAAGAAGGCCAAGCGCAAGCGCAGCAGGCGCCGCAACTGCAGCAACAAGAAGAGCAACAGGAGCAAGAAGGGGAACACCAGCAAGGGACAGCGACCTGCGACAACTTCAACAGCCGTGATGAACGTGCACTGCAAGTTGAACCCGACAACAACGGCGCGCGCTGTGCTCGCGCAGAGACCCGCGGCACCAGCACAGATGCAAGCAACACACTCACGGACACTGCGCAAAGCAACACGACACATGGCGCCGTCGTCAGGCCTGCAGAGTTCAACTTATGCGTGAGAGTGGCAACGAAGGAGGAAGCTGAACAGTTTGCTGCGTGCGTCGCAGCGTTGGGCGAAGATGCGCGCGGTGGCACCCTCAACGTTGTCGTGTTACAACCAGTGCCTGCTCTGGTGCTGCAGTGTGCCCAGCGTATCCACCACATCTCCGTGTCCAGCCGTGGCGGGACCATCGACCGCCTAGCTTTCAACGAGGTGCACTACTTGGCCTGGTCCATGAGCCGGACGCAAGCCACCCTCCCCATCCAGCGACCCCCGCGCCGTGGCATCAAGTTGTCTGGCAGCGAGCAGCTGGCGGACATCAGTGTCCTTGCTGGTGTACCGCACGTCACGCTGTGGAGCCTGCCCAGCGTTGAAGATTTGTCGCCGTTGCGGGATGCCACGAGTGTGGCCTTGCAGGCCGTCGGGGTGACTGACCTCGCACCTCTGGCACGAGTGACCAAGCTTGATGTGCGACAGGCCCAGCAGCTGGTGCTGTCCGAAACAGGGCAGCTCACTTTGCACGCGCACACGTTTGCCATGGCAGTGGTGTCTGGCATTAGAGGAGCGCTTCATCTTCCACAAGCACAAAGCATTGAGCTCTCAGACTGCTACGGTGTCTCGCAGCTCACGTGCAGGCGTCGCATCCGGTCGTTGTATGTGGAGCGGTGCGGCCGCCTGACTCGATTGCCTGACTTTGAGCGCGCTGGCGTCGTGGATGTGGACACCATCGCCGATGTTGGTGCACTGCGTGATCTCGCACATCGCGTTGACAACATTGTGTTGAGAGGCGTTGCTGGGCAAGAGCACATGTCTGCACTCCCAGACATCATCCCCGCACACGTTGGCCTCTCTGTTCCGGGGTGTAAGGTCGACGATTTAGTGCGAACGGGCGTTGCGGGTCGCTTGACCAGCGTGCATGCGCACGTGCGCGGCAGCTGTGATGCTGGGCACTTCTCCCACGCGCGTGACATCAAGTTCAATTTAGCTGGGGTTGTTTCCAACGTCGTGGGGTTGGACCGGTTGCCACCGCTCAAGCGTCTCTCATGCCATTCCATTAACTTGAACGGCGACCTGTCGTGCTGTGAGGATGTGGCATTGTTTCTATGCAAAGGCGAAGTGAACGTGTCACAGGCACAAGTAGTGCTGGTGTCTGTTGAGGCTCCAACGCTTCGCCTCTCAAGCGTACAGAACGTCCTGTTGCGAGCGGTTCAAATGTGCCCATTATTCACCTCCATTCACTTTGACAATGTGCACACGTGCGTGGTGCATCGTTCACACATCTCCGATTTCTCTGCCTTCCACGGAGTGCACCGACTTGTCCTGAAGGCGTGCGTATTTGACAGCGTGGACACGCTCCCGCTCGTGCCCGTGCTGTGCATGCGAGACTGTGCCAGAAGCGACGGCCGCAAGTGGCCCGACAGGACGCTCTGCTACCGAACACGCACGGAGCTTGCAACGCTTGGGGAAAAGCTTGTGTGTATGCTATTTTGTGTGAGTATGTGTGTGCTGTTTTGTGTGTATGTGTGTGCTGGTGTTTTTTTTTTTTTTTTGTGTGCGTGTATGTGTGTGTGTGTATGCGCGCGCGCGTGTGTGCGTGCGCATATCTAGCCAGCCAGACAATTCACGGTCTGCCTTGAGTGAATAGAGTGGTTTGCATCCACCAATTCAAATGAACCGAACAGTCGCATCGAACAGTCACACAACGCATTCCACAGAGACCCACCCTGCTCACACCATTTCAATCGCATGTGTATGACAGCGTGTGGGTGATGTATCGGAACTGTCGCTTATGTTTAATGACTGCAGTTGTGTGGGGTTGCCAGAGCGCCTTCAAGATGGTGGCCGCCCCACCAACCACACCACTACCACCACCAAAGTGCCTGCCTACTTCCTCTTCTTCCTCTTTGGTTCGCCTGATTGCTGCTGCTGCTGTTGTTGTTGCTGCTGCTGCTTCTTCTTCTTCTCCGCAGCCAGCTGCATGTCGCGCAAGCACATAGGGCAGTACCAGCTGCCCTCCGGTGCAACCGTCAGCCCGACGCACGGCAGGTGAAACCACTGGATCTCGCACTGTTGGGCAGATGCACACGCATGGATGAGGAAGGGGCGACAGGTGGACAGGAGATGGCGGGTGGGTGTTGTTGGATGCGTGTCGACCATGGGGGAGGGTGAGTTTTGAGCACGGTTGTTTTGCAAGGGTTTGGGCACACACACACATGTGCAAGGCTAAGATCGATAAAACAACACAGCGCACTCAACCCACATTATCGTTGTCGCAGCCGATCATGTCGCCGTGGGAGAGCTGGCGGCAGATGCAATACAGGGCTGCAAGCGGATGGTGGGGTGAGCACGCGTAGAAGGCGGTAAGAAAGTTGAACATGCCGGACAGACAGACAGACACACAGACACACACAAGCAAGCGTGCACGGAGCAGCTCACTTGAGTCTTCCTCCTCTGCAGCGGCCGTCTCGGCCTTTCGTGCTTGCGTCTTCCTCGGTGTCATGCTGTGTGTGTGTGTGTGTGTGTGTGTGTGTGTGTGTGTGTGTGTGTGTGTGTGTGTGACAACAGGGGTCACGAGAGTGTAGGGGGCAAAGCTGTAACACACAGCATACCTTGATCTGCCTCTGCTCAGATATCCTCGGCCCTTTGCAACTGCAGAAGAAAACCAAAGTGATACGCAAGTTGCGATGTGGGAGAGTGAATGAGGGAGTGAGCGAGCTTGAGCGCAGTGTTACACAAAGACAGACAAGACAAAACAGGCGGGCACACACACACACACACACACACACACACACACAAGCAGAGACGCATGCCCCCCCCCCCTCTGCAAAACACAACATGCTATGCAGACCAAGGTAAGGCGATTCCTCCGTGTCCAGCAAGAGGGATTCTGCAAACAGGACAAAAGGAAAGGCCGACACGTGGATGAGAGACCGGCATATAAAACGGCAGGTGGAGTGGATACGGAGAAGGGCTGCAAAAGGTGCAGAGAGTGACAGGGGAGAGAAGGACGAATAAACGCAGAACAGAGAGCGCGCAAGCACACTCACGTACACAGACACACAGACACACGCACAGGCATAGACACACAGACACACACACAGACACAGACACACAGACACACGCACAGGCATAGACACACACACACACACACACACACACACACACACACACACACACACACACACACACACACTGACACACGAACCCCAATAACCCTCCCCCCCTCCAATCCCAAACCAAACAGCCAACGCACGCTCTTTGAGTTTGACGGTGCAGCCCGGATTTGATGCCTCCAACTCCTTCTCAAAGTCAAGGAGTTTGCCGTCCAGGTGTTTCAACAGCTTGTCGAGCTAATGACCACAGCACAAACCAGCGTGTGTGTGTGTGTGTGAGTTGAGAGATGTAGTTGTTTAGGGTTTGCAACAACAGATGAGTAAACCATTCAGATACCAGCGTTGCAACAATGAGCGAGCGAGAAAGCAGAGGAAAGGGAGACACAAACCCGAGCGCCGGCGTGTTGTGCCATTGCCTTCTTGTCCTGGCACAACTTCTTCGCCTCGAGCAGTTGCTATCATCGACAGTGACGATCGACACAGGGTGGGTGGTTTTGCGTGCGCGAGAGAGTGAGTGTGGTGATATGTGCGAGCGAGTATGTGTGTGTGAGTGAGCGAGTGAGCGAGTGAGTGAGTGTGTGTGTGTGTGTGTGTGCGTGTGTGTGTGTGTGTGTGTGTGTGTGTGTGTGTGTGTGGCGGGTGGAGGGTGTGTCGAAACCCACAACGCCATGCACGCGTATGCGATTGTCCACGATTGCATGCAATGGCATCACCGTATGCATACACACGCACATTCACACACGCACATGTCGAAGCGTACATTGAGCCATGTCTTCACTCGTGCTTCCTCTTCCTCTGCTGGTAGTTTGGGCGCATCCTTGAAGAACTTCTCTGCCGCTTGTCGCGCACTGTCCATGTGATCTGATCAAAACTCAAGCAGGAGTGCAGAGGCCAAGGGCGTGAGGTACATCATCGACACAGCGAAACGAGCACACCATGGGGGGGGGAGGGGAAACAGACAGGCCAGACAAGCAGGCAAGGCAGGCAGGCAGACACACACACAGACACACAAACACGCACAGACACACAGACACGCACACACCGCACACACAGACACACACACAGACCTTGGTGTTCTGCATCCACGTCTCCAATCTTCTTCAGCATGTCCTTGAACTCTTGTGAAAACTCATCATTGAGCTCAAGGAAGTCATGCAGAAACACCATCGCCATCTCGAACGGTCAACCACAACAGTGTCAGTCCACCACCCGCAACACAGCCAACAATCAAAAACCAAACCACGTCTTCGCAGCCGCCACGCCAAGTCCGGACGATTTGCTGAAAATATGAACCAATTTTCAGCCAACGATGACGCATTCTCACACACGCACCACCAGCCAGCACACCACCACCACCACCTACTCGTCCTACACCGCTGTTGTTGTTGTGGCTTGGTTGGTGCAAGCGGCTGGAGGCTAACCAAACAGACGCACAGCTGCAAGCAAGCAAGCAAGCAAGCAAGCAAGCAAGCAAGCAAGCAAGCAAGAAGCAAGCGAGGAGAACAAGGCCTCCTGTACCTTTGGCTGAGCTGACTGCCACTTTCCTTACACACACACACACACACACACACACACACACACACACACACACACACACACACAAGACACACAAGACACACGCGACACACGCGACACACGACGTGGCGCTGTCATGAGCCATCGTCGTCGCAGCAGGTTCACGGCCAGCAGTGTCACCAGCGACGGCAATGGCGACGATCAAGGACACAGCCTGCGCCTCAGCGTGGAAGAACACGAGAGGCGGCGATCTGCGCTGGAGGGTGCTGTCATCAACGTGTTTGAGCCCATGGTTGACGATCCGAACGACAACGATGGCGTGGATGGCCTGATCGGGGCCGAGGGCGAGGTGGAGGAACTGGAGGATCCTTTCAGCGACAGTGACGACGCCGACGCCGATGCTGATCGGCAAGGTGCCCAGAGCGAGCTGGAGGCTGACAGCAGCGATGCCGCAAGTGCTGAGGGCGGCAACAATCACGAAACCAGCCAACTTGGCCAACATGACAACAGCAACAGCAACAACAACAACAACAACAGCAGCAACAACAACAACAACAACAGCAACAACAACAACAACAACAACAACAACAACAACAACAACAACAACAACAACAACACAGACAGTGACGCATTCCACACCGCTGACGAGCATGACAGCGATGGCCACGACGCGGCGGAGCACCCACATCGATCAAGGTTACCCTCTGTGTCTTCACCGCACACATCCGCCTCTCGTCCGGCTGCTGTTTCCACGTCACCACGGCCGAACCCTTTCCAGCCGCCATCACCGCACGCTCTGACGGCTGCAGGCGCGGCTGTCCATGAAGCACACGACAGCCACGACCTGCGTCAGGTGCGCCAGGTCCTCGCTCAACACTTGCATGGTGACGATCGCCACACAGCAAGCTCGGGAGATGATGCCGATTCTGACAGAGACAGCGCCGACGCGTCTTCAACGCACAACGCGTCGCCGTTGTCATCGCCACCATCGTCATCCACATCATCATCATCATCGTCGTCGTCAGCGTCATCTGCATCGTCGTCTATTTCCAGTGGTGACGAAGACGCGTCTGGCCCTTCGACCAGCGCAAACGGACAGCTGACCACGGCGTTTGACATTGACATGAGCTTTGAGGTGTACGATGGCAGCCGTCGCCCGCACGAGGACTGGGGCATTGAGCTGATTGAGCCGCCTCACAGCCATGGCACACGCTCCTCGCTAACAACTCCAGCGGTGACAGCAGCAGCGACCGGCATGGGCGGACCTGGTGTGTCCCGCCACCACCACCACCACCATCATCATCACCGTCATCATCATCATAATAATCATCATCATCACCACCATCCACCGCACGAGCACGTCCACCCGCCCTCGTCTTCATCTGCCCACGCGCCCGCGCTTGCTGCTGCGATGATGCGGGTGATTAGCGAGGAGGAGGAGCAGGCCGTGCAGGCCAACGCGTACACGTGGCTGCGGGCGCCTGCAGACACACGCTCCGCGGTGATTGAGGCGCGTCGTGAGGAACTCCTGTCCTCGGATCTTCTTGCAGCGTCACCGCGGCTGCAACAGGAGTGGACAGACCTGCTTCGGTTCCGTGACCGCCTGCTTCGGGAGGCCGCAGAGGCAGCGAGCGAGCCACGCCAGCCCCATGACGACCAGCGCTCGTGTGTCGAGTGTCGCCGGCACGGCCGCCACACGTCCTTCCACCCGTTTCGCCCGCGCGTGGAGTGCGCCAACTGTGGCAGCTCCGTGTGCGGCGCGTGCAGCAGCAACCGCCTCCTCCTCCCTGCGGGCACTGGTGGTCGGAGCAAGGCGCGCGTGTGCCAGTCGTGCTACCGCCGCATAACGACAGCCAAGCGCGCTGGCATCTGCGTGCGCATTGTGCAGCGGCAGGGGGAGGAGCGCGTGTTCTGGCTGGTGGAGCTCCCCGTCTCCTTGTGGCAGATGCGAACGGTCACAGAGCTTCACCTGTCCAACACCCAGCTGCGACAGCTGCCGCCACAGGTGGGCATGATGGAGCACCTGGAGGTCCTCAACCTCGCCGACAACTTCCTCTCTGAGTTGCCTGCAAGCATCGGCGTCGTGCGTGCGCTGCGGGAGCTGGACATAAGCGGCAACTTCCTGCGCGACCTGCCCAGCAGCTGCGGCGAGCTGACGGCGCTCCAGACCGTTAGCTTTGCAACGAATCAGCTCAAACAATTGCCGGCGTGGCTGGCGCGGCTGACGGCGCTGCACACGCTCGACATCTCCAACAACCCGGACATTGACGGCTCATCGCACCGCCATCTGGGGGAGTGCGGCGGGCTCACGTGCCTTCGAGCACGCAACACCAACCTGAAGATTGTGCCGGCTGCGCTGTGGCACCTGGCGAAGCTCGAGCACCTCGACCTGTCGTGCAATGTCATCACCAAGGTGCCCATGGCCATCTGCTGCCTGCACAGCCTGCGCAGCCTGGACCTCTCCCACAACTACATCCACGTGCTGCCGGAGAGCGTGATGCATCTCGAGAACCTCGAGGTGCTTCGGCTCGGCTGGAACAGGGGCCTGCTCATCCCCGATGCGCTCGGCGCAATGTGGCAGCTGCGTGAGCTCACCCTCAACCACTGCGACCTGGACACGGTGCCGCCCACGCTGGGGTCGCTGCGGGCGCTGTCACGGCTGGACCTGCGGTGTAACCGCCTGCAAGTGATACCGCCGGCGCTGCAACAGCTGGCGCAGCTGACGTCGCTTCGCACAGAGGGGAACCCGGGCTGCCCTGTAAGGACGCGCGGGAAGGAGAAGGATGGGACGAGGAGCAGAAAGAAGAAAAAGACAAAGGCGAAGAAGAAGCAAAAGAAGAAGAAGGGGAACGAGGGGAGCGAGGGGAACGAGGGGAACGAGGGGAGGAACAAGAAGGTGGAAGGGGAGGGAGAAAAGCAGGTAGAAGAGCAGAAGAAGAGGAAGGGAGAGAAGGAGGGTTTGCGTGTGAATGTGAGGCGGGATGGAGGCCGCGGGGGTGCGGGCGAGCCCAGTCGTGCTGTCGACCGTGACAGTGAACATGGTGCGAGAAGCAAGCAGAAACACAAGAAGCGGGATAAGAAGAGCAAGAGGAAGAAGAAGAGGACGAAGAAACACGGGCATCAGAACCCGCAGCACCACAAGCAGCACGGCCACAAGACATCCAGCAACGACAGCCACCAACACGTGCACCACCAGCACCGCTATCATATGCATGAGCATGGCAGCAAGTATCACGTGCACGTGCAAGACGTTGATGTTCACGATGATGATGGCGACAGCAGCAGCGGTGTTGGTGCCGGTGTTGGTGTTGGCGGCACTGGGGGTGGTTTTAGTGAAAGCGGTGGTCGTGTGGGCGATGAGCCAGAGACGGTTGGAAACACAATGGCGCTGCTGAAGGAGTTTTCAGGCACCCCGACGTCACCCCACTCGCACTCGCCACGCAGCCGCTCGCGTGCACACACCCCGCGCGGCAGCGGCCTGTTTGGAAAGGAGGATGGTGCTGCTACAACACGCGACGGAGGAAACGGCGGTGATGGCGATGGCAATGGACACGCACCAGACTCACAACAACAACAGCAGCAGCAGCAGCAGCAAGCACTGCAGCCCTTGCAGGTGGTGCTGTGGCAGGCGTCACCCGACCTTGATCTGCGCTGGCTGTGTGACAAGCTGACTGGTCCCGTGTACCTTCCCGCCGTGCGAGAGAACCTGCCCCACCTGTCCACCATGATCCCAACAGTGTACACCGCAGACACGCACATGCAGCAGCAGCGCACGGCAGCACAAGCAGCCACGCTTGCTGCCCAGGACGCGTACAAGAGCAAGTCATCGCTTCTCTTTGACACGGACATTGCCACCGTCGACCCATCAGCGATCCCGCTCGTGGCCAACACAGACTTGACCGTGCCAGCAGGTGGGCGCGTAATGTGTGTGTGTGCGTACGTGCGTACGTGCGTGTGTATGTGTGCGTTCGTGCGTGTGTGTGGGTGTGTGTATGTGTGTATGTGTGCGTTCGTGCGTGTGTGTGTGCGTGTGTGCGTGTATGCGTGTGTGTGTGTGTGTGCGTGCGTGTGCGTGCGTGTCGTGCGTGCGTGCGTGTGTGTTCCTCGCCTGCTCATCTTCTCTGGTCATAATTTTGTTTTTCTTGTGCCTGTCTCTACGACCGCCCTTCAATCACACATACACGCACATACACACACACATACTCACACACATAAACACATACACATACACATACTCACACACATACACATACACATACTCACACACATAAACACACACACACACACACACACACACACACACACACACAGGGCTGTCGTCTTCTTCAAGCGTTGACGACGACTCATGGCCAGACAACGTTCGCTTGTCCGTGCTGCACCACCGCGGCCCCCTCAGAGACGGTGCGGCGTGTGGTGCAGCTCTGTGGCCTCTTTGTTTGTGATGTGTTGTCGCTAGGTGGCGTATTCGGTTGATGTTATGCATTGCGTGGCGAGTGCGCTCATCTGACCACACACAAGCACGCCCACGTCCCTTCCCACACGTGCTTACACCACGTTCTCAAATTCTCATACATGCCCTCACCCACGCTCTTATGCACGTCCTCACCACACCAACCCTCACCCAAACTACCCCTCATGTTGATGCAGGCGTGCTGCAGCAGCTGTGTCATGCACAGCGGGCGGTGCCACGGGTGCACCTGCTGTGCATCGACCTGTCATTGGACCACGACGACCTCATCATCCGCGACACGCAGGAGATGCTGGGGGAGCTCGCCAGCTGCTTCCCTGGTGACCGCATACAGATGGTCGGCGTCAAGCACATACACATGCGCGACCACACGGCCGCTGCAAAGCAGGTAGGCAGTCACAATTGGTGGATGGGGGGGGCGGGTGTGGGGCGGAAGTTGGGACGGGGTTAACTGAGAACTGACATACACAAGGGCGTCAGACGAATCGTCACCTTGTCCCTTTTCTTGCATTCTGAAATGCTGTATCGTCAGTTTTTGACGAGCGTCATGGCCCACAGTGTACCATGAGAATGTTTCACAGCATATGACCCAAGCTCCCATCCCAAACATAGCCTGACACACATAACCACACACACACAACCACACACACACAACCACACACACACACACACAACTACATGTGCGCTGTGATTCAGGTGGTTGCGTGGGACGCAGCGCAGTCGTTGCTGTATGCACGTCGCCGCGCCATTACCAACGAGTGCGGTAACCTGCCACTCTCCCTCACGCAGCACCCCGGGTTTATTTCTCGCCGCGCTGCCCGCAAGTTTGGCCTGTACCCGTCACTGCACACGCGACCACAGCCCCAGGCAGCGGTTGTGGGTGCGGAGTCATCGACCGCGTCTGTGATGCCGACACACATGCAGCACACGGCGAGCGCGCGGTTGCAGTTCTGGGAGGAGCAGCATGTTGACATTGGCCGAACGTGCATGGTCGTGTCCAAGCGTGATTGCAGTCAGCTGTGGTCATTTCTTCGCCAGCAAGCCCACGCCATCGCGAGGCAAGCCAGCGCCACCAGCTCACAGGTCCGCAAACCGCATTTGGGATTGCTTGTGCTTCGTTTGTTCGACCTGCTGTTGCTGCTTCGGGTTCGTGTCTAGTGTCATTGGCTGTTACACGTGCACCCAGACAGAAGTTGACAACACACACACACACACGCAAAACATCACAACACAACACACACGTGTCCAAACTACAGGTGCATCCGCAACAACAGGTGCAGCCTGCTGGGGACGTGCACGCGTCGCCGTCGCCAGAGTGTTTGCGAATGGGGCAGCACCTGCAGCTGCTGTTCAACCAGGGTGTCATCACACGCAGTGTCTCAGACCTCCTCCTCTCCCTCAGACTCCAGCACTGGAACCCCACCAGGTGGGCATGCGTGCACGTGGCTGCTTCGCTTGTGTAGTGACACGTGTGCATGTATGCTAGTGTGGCGTATGTGTGTGCTGATTGCGCTCAGCATGTGCCTTGCTCATGTGCGTGTGTGTGAACTCAAATACATGTCACTCTCACTTTTGCACGCGTGCCAATGTTTGCCGCTAACCCACCTGTACACATGCGCGTTCCCATCTCAACCACTGTTCACCACTGCCCCGTGCACAGGTTCCCCGTGAGCGCATTAGCATCGCCACGACTGCGCATGCGACGCCGTGACAATGCATTACGCCTCACTAAGTCTGCTGCCACAACACCTCGACACCACCGCTCCCCTCGCAGCGCCACGCCCGTCAACCGCGCAGCCAGCAGCAAGCACATCAGCGCAGCCGACATCGCCTCCCCACCGGAGCTTGCACATGACCACCACCACCATGATCACCACTATCATCACCACCATCATCATCACCACTCCACGGCGATTGGGCGGTTGTCGGAGGCGCTGCGTGCGCATTTGTCGCGGAAAAGCGAACCTGCTCTCACTGTACGGCCCGCTCGCAGCAAGACTGAGCTGCACACCAGCAGCACCACGTCGCAGACCACCGCCCAAGACCTCGACCTCCCCACGCTGCTGGATGTCGCATGCCGTGCCAGTGGTGTCTCCACGTTCCTCGGGCACACGGCGACGGATGTGCTGTTTGTGAACCCGCGCGTGCTTGGGCATGCCGTGGGCGCACTGACGCACTTCCACGTGGACTGGATCAAGCACGTGACGCGGGCGACGCTGCCAGCGCACCTCCGCAGTCGCACCAAGGCCATCCGCGCAGGGCTTGAGCGCTACTGTGCGACTGGGGAGCTGCTCCCTGCCGACATGACGGGCGCCTTCGTCGCGTACCGCCAGCACTGGCTGCAGGAGGTTGATGCCATTGAGCACCCAACACGCCGTCTGCAGCAGCTGCGCATCACGCGTGACCACATCCTGCACACGCTCGTCACACTCGAGGTCCAGCACATTGTGCAGGCGCTGTTTGAGCTGCAGCTGTGCTGTCATGTGCCCGGCAGTTCTGCCAACGCCACCAGCTCCTCGGGCGGTGTTGGGGGTGCGTCAACATCATTCACATCGCCCACGGCGCCGCCACCGACCGGCCCGCTCTCCGCCGTCTCATCCATGTCGTCCATGCTGCTTGGTGGCAGCCGCTGCAGCCAGGACGCAGGCGCGTCCAGTACCGATCACACCAACAACAACGGCAGCAACAACAACAACGGCACTGATGATGGCAGGCGAGGTACTTCGGTGGATGACGTGGGAATGGCGAAAAGCACCAGCAGCAGAAACAGCAGCGGCAGTGTGGCGATGACGGCGTCTGCCCTGGCGCTGAGCACAAGTACAGCAGCAAAGCGGGGCAGCGCGCCCACCGTGAGTGTTGGTGTTGGCGTGGACGGCAGGAGTGGCGGCAACTCCCCCTCCGATGGCAATTGCAGCCACTACACCAGCCGGACACAGCAGGCACCTTGCCTGCAAGCAGCGGACCACCAGCGAAACGTCAACACGCACACGAGCAAGGTGCCGATTCTCTTTCTCCCGCGGCGCCCGATATCGCCCTCTGCTGCGGCGACGCAGGTGTTTGAGAAAGCCATGGCGCCGCCACAGTCCTCCCGCGTTGGCGCAACCCTCGCTGCACATTTTGGTGCATTCATGGACAAGAGCGACAAGACAACAACGACAGCAACTGCTGCAAGCAAGGATGGCGACGCAGCAGCGAGCAGCGGCAACGCGAACAGCAGCGATGGTGCGAGAGCGAGGGCTGGTAGCGGTGCTGGGCGCACACGATTGAAACGGTCAAGCACGGGCGGCACGAGCGCGCACACATGTCGTGCTGGCCGTGTTGTTCGCATGAACCACATGCCCACCTCGCTGCTCGCCAGCTTGGCCTGCATGTGTTCCACGCGCTATGCGAGCATGCACGTGTGGGAGCGCGGGTTGCTGCTGTCTCCCGTGAGCGAACGCGGCAGCACGCGCTCCGTTGTTCTCGTCTCGTGTGCATATGACCCGGACACGTACCCGCACATGCCGTTTGTCATGTCCTTCCTCGCCGTGAACAACAACAAGGACATGCTCGGCGCGACCAACGCGCTCGTGGCTGCGCAGCTGCCCGCCGTTGCGTCGCTTGAGCACCTGCTGGTGACCGATTTTCCGGGCGTGATCTGGACGGCGGAGGCATGTTGCCCAAACTGCCTGCTGGAGGAGGATTTGTCCTCTTTGGAGGTGGCCGCTGCGAGAGGGCTGCATGCGCAGTTCCCGCTCAGCTCGCTCACCAACGTGGCGTACGTGGACTGCCCGGCATGTGGTACGTCTGCTTCCACGCCACCGCTCCTGCTCAACTTTATGGTGCTGGACGAGCACAGCCCTGCCCAGCGCTATCGCCTGAATGCCGTGCAGAACCTCATTGCTGGTCTGGGGCGCATCGTCGTGCAGCCGTACAAGGGCGTCAGCCAACACTCACCCGATGGCGGCGAGGACGAAGGTGCGACTTTGTTCGTTTGTTTGTTTGTTTGTTTGTTTGTTCGTTTGTTTGTGTGTGTGTGTCTGAGTGAGGGAGTGTGTGAGTCTTCTTTCATGTGTGTGTTCGTCTGTCTGACTGTCTGTATGTGCGTGTGTGTGAGTCTTCTTTCATGTGCGTGTGCGTGTGTGTGTCTGAGTGAGTGAGTCCTCTTGCGTGAGTGTGTGCCTGAGTGAGGGAGGGAGTGAGCCTGCTTGTATGTATGTGTGTGTGCGTGTGTCTTCTTGTATGTGCATGTGCACCCATGTTGAGCCCCACTGCCTGTCCGTTCTCATTCCCCAGTTCTTCTCACGTTTTGGCTGCCCACGCTCACACAACACAGACTGGCAAGTGCTTGATGTGCCAAAGACAGCACCGTTACCGCTGAAATCGCCCGTCAATGCCATCTTCGATGGAGAGTTTCCGCCCGCCAGCAGCGAGGAGGCCGACAACGATACGCACGCGTGAACAAACTATGGCTGTTGCACCAACGTTGTGTGTGTGTGTGTGTGTATGTGTGCGCCAGTGCCCTGTTTCCAGCGTATTCACGCACTCGCGAGATGTAGCTGTTGTCGTGTGTTGGACATAGTGTCGTGGTGACACGATAAAGGAACTATGAAGCGATTGTCTTTTATGAAGGGCGTGAACGAGCGTTGCCAGCACAAGAACGGCAAACGAGCCAGCAAGGGAAACTACAACACATGCAACGCTTTGAATCAACACAGAGGTGAACAATAACAGCTGCTGTGCAAACGAAAATGAAGCCATCGCCGGGAAATTGTGAAAGACGAACGCGAGCGGTAATGTAACAGCACACGACGGAGCACACACCAATACCAACAAGGAGGAGGATGCAATACGGCACGGCAGACGCAAAGACAAAGCACGAACAGAAGCAAGCGAGCAAACAAACGAAAGGGGGAGGGGGTAAATCACGTTGCCACTGCTGCACCTCAGGCCGTGGACGCATCGTGCAAGTGGGCGACTTCTTGCTGCTCGCGAACCCATTTCCTGCGACGGATGCTGGCGTTGCGCATATCCTTCTCAAAGCGCGACGACAGGTTGCGGGCGTATTCCCACGCCTCGTCCCCATCCCTGCGGTATGTGTGTGTGTGTGTGTGTGTATGTGGTGGGGGGGATGAGTGAGTGAGTGGGTGAGTGTACATGGTGTGAAAGTAAGACAATGTGTGCGACCACCAGCTTGAGTGACGAGCATGTTCTTCGTCTGGTGTTGTTCAGAATTCCAGACCACCATCCCGTGTCTCACCTTGCCGAGTCTGCGAGCATCCAGTTGCCGATCCACTCCCACCCCGGGTGTGGCTTGATCTCCTTCAGCGACACAAACTGCTCATACGTGCCGCTCACAACATACGCTGTCACGCACGCACACAAGGCGATACAAAGGTTAGGGAACCACACGCGACGACAAACAGGCAGGCGCGCGCATGTGTGTGCGCGTGTACTTGTGTTGTGTGTGTACCTGAAATTGGATCGGATGGGATGAATCGTTTCGCCCAAGTGCCGTCGCAGTTGCGCTCGTACTCATGCACCTGCAGCGGATGCATATGGATGGTGGTCGTGTGAGCACGAGTCACATGCCACAAAGTGTGAGCAGGGCGTGGCAAAACACAATAAAACGAAGCAAACAAACGAACGAAACAAAACAAAACGAAGCCAGCAAGCAGGCAAAGCAAAGCAACGCAAGCAAACAAGCAACAAAACAAAACAAAACAAACAAACCTGAACAAGCTCCGTGTGATCTGACTCGGGCCTGAACACCGTGTCCAGGGAGTCAACCTGACAGTATGAACAAGAGCAGATTGCGTTGAGCATACATATGCTGGTTTCATTTCATCACGGTTCCCGTGTGCATTTCGTGCATCGCCTGCTCAACGGGTGCCATCATCCCATCGCCCCAAAAGAACACCAGCACTCCCCCTCCCCTCTCATCATAACGGCAGCTGCGCACCTGGAACGCGTGGCGGACGTTGAGGTTGTAGAGCGTCTTCAAGATGGCGCCAAGAACAGGATATGTGTCGTCGTCGCGGACTGGCAGAATGCCGGCGCTGCTGTCGCTGAATGTCAACTCCATCCCTGCACGACAACAAGCCATCGAAGTGAGAAAGGCACGTAGGAAGCGTCCTGATACAACCCATTCACAAACATACACACACGCACACGTACGTACGTGTGCCGCACATGTTCAAAGCGCGCACACACACACACAACAAAACACACAACATGTCTTGCGGTGTTACCGTTTCGCTCTGGCTTCTCCTGGAAACCGCGCAGTTTGGTGGCATCAAATTCCTTCTGCACAGTAATCTTCTTTCCAGCAACAACATCCAACACTAAACCGAATCACACATCATGGTCACACGTGAGCACACGTGCGGTTCTTGAGTGGATCACGCGGTCAACTGTCGTCAAGCCAAGTACCCAGCGTCACAGCGCACACGCGTGCACACACACGCATACACCTCTTCACAAACATACAAAATACACAAACATGCACAAACAAACAAACAAACAAGTTACAAACGTCCCCCCCCCCCCCTGACCGAGGATGCGCGTGGAGAGGGCGAGGATGACGCAGAGGTGGTGCTCCCCGCGCTTCGTGTCCTGCTTGAGAATCTCCGACACGTGCGCAACGTACGGGATGTCGCCGTAGTTGTCGCGCAGCACGGGCGTGCGCTGGATAAAGCCGACGCCTTGTGATTTGAGGGGCGAATAAGGCACCACGGTGCCCTTTGCGTGGATGTGGCGCGGAAGACGCGCGCGCTCAACGCCTTGCTGGCCTGAGATGGACGTCTCAATGCCACGAAGCGTGCACGACACGAGATCCACAGCACCGCTGGCTGGCTTCACAAAGAGACCCAGCATGCCCTTGCCAAAGCCGAGAAGCCCTTTGCCAACACCGCCCTCCTTGCCTTCGCGGACGGGCGTGGTGACGACACCAGACACGCCGGACCTGAGGCCGCGTGCAAACATGCGCGCGCCGGAGAGGAAGCCACGGCGCGCGCCCGTGGGCTGTGCACGAAGCGTACGCTCTCGCTCCTCCTGGAACTTCTTGTCAAAGGTGACCTTTGCCAGGCCACGCCCGGTTGCACCCACCATCTTCGCGCCCATGCCGACACCGCCGCCAACAACACCCGTGCCCAGGTCCTTGACGCCTTTCGTCACCTGGTGTTGTCGTTTGGGAAAAGGGACGAATGAGTGGGTGGTTCAAGTACGCGACGCGCACATGCAATCGACGCGGATACAGCACCACGACTGCACACACACACACACACACACACACACCCACCCACACACACACCCACACACCCACACACCCACACACCCACACACACACCCACACCCACACCCACACCCACACCCACACCCAACCAAACAAAGATAGAAAGGACTCACAGCAGCGCCAAACTCCTCGGGCCCTGCGAGGACGCTGGAGACGGGATTGAAGAAGAGACTCTTGAAGCCGCCAGCAACATCGCGCACAACCTGGAGGGGATCACCCAGCATGTCCAGCGAGAGAATGGTGGACACTGCAGCCGTTGGGGTGGTGGTGGGTGCGAGTGAGTTCGTGCCTGGGCACTTGCAAGCATTCAGGGTGATGCCGCAAGTTGAACCACACACACACACATATCCCCCCCCCCCCACAAACACACAAACACAAACACATGTTCATACATTCACGCAGCCATGAGGTGCGGGCACTCACCGAGACCGATGGAGACGAGCCAGCGGAAGACGTTGTGTTCATATGATTCACCAAGACGAATCAGCAGCGCAGTCAGCGAGATGAGCGTGTCCTTCAACTCGAACGAATCTGTGTCGTAAGGATGGCATGTTGAACAAATGTGAGCAGGATGGGGCAGAAGGAGGTGCGAGCAATGTGATTCAACATGCAAGGCAAAAGACCATGAGCAGAGGGTACAAGCACACACGCACGCACAAACGAAAACAAGCACAAGCACAAGCACAAGCAGCCACAACCACGCATACAATCACGAACACGCCACACGCTCCCTCAATGACTGCGACGCACTAAGGTTGAACGGGGCACTGTTCACAGCGGGGATGGTGATGCCAATGGTCTGGAAGACGGCTGGCAGGTCCTGCGTTGCCGCGTCCGCATTGGTCAGTGTCACACGCACATCGACGGGGCTGATGAAGATGTGTTTGCAGAACAGCGGCACGGGGCTGGCGGGCGGTGGGTCGTCCGTCAGCTCACCCTCAGGCAGCAGTTCAAGCACAGAGAGGAAGCGTAGCAGCTGCGCCAGGAACTCGCCGTCAACCTGACATGGCGGGAACAGGGGGTGGGGAGTGTGGAATGGTTTTAAGGGGAAAAGGGTAATGGTGTGGTGGTTCGAGGATGCGGGTTGCCTTGTGGGACGACAAGGTACACACGCACACGCATGGATACGTAGGTATGTATCCATGGACACAAATTCACAACCAAAGTGCACAAGTACAACCAAACGTGCACCTAAACTGCACACGCACACACGCACGCACAAAACACAAACGCACAAACATACCTTGAGTTCAAGCGGCAGGAGTTTGGCGCCAAAGTACTCGATGCTGTCGGCGGCGCGTCCGCTCACATCGCCGAGTTTCTGCACAAAGGAGAGCTCAAATACGTGCATGCGGTTTTCCTCCTCCTTCTGCTCCAGCTGTCAGAGGCGGAGAGAGCGAGAGCGAGAAGGACATTCATGCAAAGTCAGTCAGTCGAGTGCTCAGGTTCGAACACACTTGTAGACACGCGCACACAACACACACACACACACACACACACACAAAAAAAAAAAAAAAAACTCACGCGCGCAACAACCACGTAACAAATTCGCATACCTGTGTGCGGCTGTACATGACGACGGGGTAGAGGGCGTCGTGCTGCTGGAAATCAAGCTGCAGCTTCTGCACAGCTGCCGCCAGTTTCAAACGCTGTGTCGTCTGCGTGAACGACGCGCTGATGTTGTCGAGCGTAAAGAGCGCAAACTCGGAGGGCCGCTGCTTGGTGCTGTCAATCAGGGAGACGGACAGGCCACCCTCCAACAGCACATTCACGTTCAGCAGCAATTCCTCGCTCTCCGCATCCGCAGAGAGGCCATACAGCGAACGCAGATGCTTCACGTCATTGGCTGCCGTTGGTTACGTGCGTGTGTGTGTGTGTGCGAATGTGTGTGAGCGCATAAGCTTGAGTGTGTGCGAACGCTTGTTTGTGAATGTGTGAAGGGAAGAAGCTGCTCAAACTCTCACCCGAACATTCTCACGCAAGAAGAGTACACACACACACACACACACACACACACACACACACGCTCACCAATAACGTAGTGAAGCACGCCGGTTGTCTTGTCTGGAATGACATTGACAACAGCAAGCACGTCATCATCGGGTGACTCCTTTGTTCCTTTCTTCTTCTTGTTGCGAAGTTTCATCACGCCCTCCGGCGCAAAGGGAACAGAGACCCAGTCGCACTCCTCTGTATTCGACGTCGTGTACACCTACAGATGGTTGTGTGTTTGTGTGTGTTTGTGTGTGTGTGTGTGCACGTGTGTGTATTGCGTGTGCGTGAATGCGTGTGCGCATCACCAATCTTCAGACGCAGGACATCGCACAGAAGAGAACAAGGCCATCACAGCCCGGGTTTCTCAGCGACCTTGAGTTGCAGTTCGCGTTTGGCGGCGGGGTTTGGATCCTCAAGCGCGTAGTTCATACCGAACGACGGGTTGAGCAGGTACTGGATTTGAATGCGGCAGATGGGGTGGGCAGCGCGCAGGCGCACACAAAGAGTTGAAGTTGAGCAGATAGCGATATGTAGAGGCAGATCAAACCACAGCTTGTGCATGTGTGCGTGTGCATGTGTGCGCGTGTGTATGTGTGTGTGTGTGTGCGTGCGTGTGCGTGTCGGAAAACGAGTCATACAGACAAACAGCTACACATGTGCGCGCACGCGCATCACACCTCTGGAGCCCAGGTGACTTCGGACTGCTTGAATGCAATCTTGCGGTTGGTGTGGTTCTCGATGCGCATGGGCGGGGTTGAGGAGACGGGGCGGAACGTGACAACAAACCGACCCGCCTTCTTGAAACAGTCTGCCTCAACAGCCGTCAACTCGTCTTCCTGTGGGTGGTGGTGGTAGTGGTGGTGGTGGTGGTCACAGCAGCGAAACCATCGTGAACTCAGCGATATTCAGCACACGAACACACACACACACACACACACACACACACACACACACACACACACATATATATGTAACGAGGGACTCACGTCATTGTGGATTTTGAGGGTGTGCACGACGCGCACATCAACACCGAGTTCCGTGGGCGCAAAGGCGCCACTCCAGCCTGAACGAAAAACAGCAGCGTGTGTGTGTGGGGGGGGAGGTGAGCTGCCCTACAGATGCGGAGACGTTGACGCTCAACAGCAGAAACACACGCCACATGCACAGAGACACAGACACAGACACAGACACACAGACACAGACAAAGACACACAGACAAAGACACACACAAAAACACACACACACACACACACACACACGAGCACACACCTGTAACGCTGCTGAGCGCGAGTTTCCAGAGGGTTTTGTTCGGAACGTCGGCGTCGTGCCAGGTGAGGCCGGGCGGGATGGTGCGCGTGCGCTGGTCAACGGGGTCATCGGTCGCCTGCTTCACACGCGTGAGGTGGACAGGCTCGCTCGTGTCGTTCTTAAACGTGAGAATCGGGTCCACAAAGAGGCGCCTGGAGAGCAGGTCCTCATCGGCAAACTCCCAGTGGATCATGAGAATCTTGGGGGCGCGCCCGCGCTCCTGCACCTCACCCTTGTCGTCGACGTACAGACACTTGATGAGCGTGTTGCCGGCCACCAGCTTGGTCACGTCAAAGGGGCGCGAGCGGAAGCCGTCAAACGACACCACCGTCTCGTCCAGCCGCGTGAGGGGCGAGTACAGCCACACGGTGTGCGTGTCCCCTTCCCCGCTGGACAGCTTGCGCTTGTCGTAATCGCTCTTTGGCTGTGGGCGGCGCGGGATGTACGGCTCCCCAGATGTCGTGCGCGGGCGAACGCTCAGCTGCAAATCCGTGTTGTTGACAATCTGGAAGGGGCAATACAGGATGGCTGTTTCTGGGCCGTACTCGGCCGGTTCGCGGCGCAGCGTGAGGAAGAGCTTCAGCATGGTCAGCGCCTGGCTCAACTCCTCTGGCGGCACCCACGTGGTGGTGTACGGCTTCTTCTTTGGGCGGTCAAGGTCAATCATGCACGGCTTGCTCCAGTACCCCTCGGTGAACTTGGGCGGCGTGTCGCGCACGAGGGTCTCGTGTGTCGGCAGGTTGTCCATGCTGTTGACAATCGCCATTCGCACCGTCAGCGCCCGCTTGTGCACGAGCGACGTGAACCCTGAAGAAGAACAACAAAAAGAAGAAGAAGAAGGTGGCGTGGGCGAGGGGACAGGAAAAGTTCAGAAGAAGGGAGTGTCAGTGTGTGAGGGAACAGATAACACAAAGACCGACAACCGCAAGAAGAAGAAGAAGAAGATGATGATGATGAAGAAGAAGAAGAAGAACAAGAACAAGAACAAGAAGAAGAACAAGAAGAAGAAGAAGAACAAGAAGAACAAGAACAAGAACAAGAACAAGAACAAGAACAAGAACAACAAGAAGAAGAAGAACAACAAGAAGAAGAAGAAGAAGAACAAGAAGAAGAACAAGAAGAACAAGAACAAGATGAAGAAGAACAAGAAGAAGAACAAGAAGAAGAACAAGAACAAGAACAAGAACAAGAAGAAGAAGAAGAAGAAGAAGAACAAGAAGAAGAAGAAGAACAAGAACAAGAACAAGAACAAGAAGAAGAAGAAGAACAAGAACAAGAACAAGAACAAGAAGAAGAACAAGAAGAAGAAGAAGAACAAGAAGAAGAAGAAGAACAAGAACAAGAACAAGAAGAAGAAGAAGAACAAGAAGAAGAAGAAGAAGAAGAAGAACAAGAACAAGAAGAAGAAGAACAAGAAGAAGAACAAGAAGAAGAAGAAGAACAAGAACAAGAAGAAGAACAAGAAGAAGAAGAAGAAGAACAAGAAGAAGAAGAAGAACAAGAAGAAGAAGAAGAACAACAAGAAGAAGAAGAACAACAAGAAGAAGAAGAAGAAGAACAAGAAGAAGAAGAACAAGAACAAGAACAAGAAGAAGAAGAACAAGAAGAAGAAGAAGAACAAGAAGAACAAGAACAAGAAGAACAAGAAGAAGAAGAAGAACAAGAAGAAGAAGCGGGCAAACGCAGGAGACCTCAAGTGCTGCTAACAGCAGGTCCAACAAAATACAGAACTGAGCACACAGAGCAACGGACAAGCAAGATGGGGTTTGTCCAAAGCAAACCACGCAACCAACGTACCACACTTGCCACCGGGCGGAACTGCCACGTATGAATACGGCAGCGCTTCTTCGTTGGCGCAGAGGCCAAACACCACGCACACAGGCAGGCTGTTCTTGAAGGACAGCGGCTCAACAATCCGGAAGGAGGACTGCATCTCGCGGCCGGTTGGGCAAAGGGAGCAGACAAAGGGGCGCTGCTCGTCCTTGCAGACGAGATCGCGCTTTGCCGGGTCACGCGACAGGCGACAGTCCTCCACCATCTCACTCCACGGGTGGCCCTCCTTGAGGCGCACGCGGACCTGGCCAGGGTCCTTCACCAGCAGACACATGGGCGCGGCAAGCTTGTCGTCCGCCTCCTTCACACCAGGCACCTTGTAGGCAACCTTCTTCGACCTGCTCCGTGCGCAATCGATTGGAGGGGCGAGGAGAAATGGTTGGTGGTTGGTGGTTGTGGTTGGTGGTTGGTGATTGTGAGGGGGAACAAGTCGTGGTTCGTTTTCAAGTGAGCAAGCGTGTGAAATAAAGGTGGGTGTGAGTAAGGCGGTTGTGAAAGAACAGTACGAAGCGCAGGCGTACACGCAACCGACATAGGCAGTCGGATATGAAGGCATCACTGCAGTGTGCAAGTTGACAATGCTCCACAACAAGTGAGAACACAATAACAGCCAGACACAATCTACAAAGCCACCATCAGCACACGCACTTGAGGGCCGCCGCAGCCTCCTCCGTGCTGTTGGTGAGCAGAATGTCCTTGAACTTTGGATTGTACAGGCGATGCAGCGGGCGCAACTCCACGCGCTCTGTTGCTGTTGTTGCTGCTGGAGATGTTTGCGGCGGGTACACGTATCCAGCCAGCCGCAGCCCTTTGGTTTGGAGCTCTGTTGTGCTCATCTCCTCCTTCAGCGGCTTCTGACCAGGCAGCACCTGTCATGGCGCATGTGCGTGCGTGTGCATATGTGTGCATGCATGCATGCGTGTGTGTGTGTGTTTGTTTGTGTGTGCGCATGCATGCGTGAGATTGATGAAAAAAAGTTGGGTTGTGCGAGCACCTACATGCTCACGCAGTCACTTGAACCCTCGCAAATACACATACTCGCACAATTTCCACCACTCGCAGCAGTCAGCAAAATCTCACCAGCCCTGGTTGGTTGACAAAGCCGTCGTATTCGTGTTCTGTCGGGGAGAGGCGGGTGAGCCAGAGCGGCACCGTGTTCTCAAGCTGGTGGCGGTACACAAACCCAAGCGTGCAGACTTGCTGCGCATGCAAGTTGCACGAGATGGCCTGCAAGGGGTCGGTCGTGTACATGTGCTTGTTTGCGGCTGGATCGAAGAAGCGAAGCAGCGGCACAAGCATGTCGTCGGTGGACACGGTGTCCAGTAAACCAAGCGGTGGCGAGTACTGTTGCTCCGGCACGAGCGAAATGGACAGCTCCTCCGTGTGCGAAAATCCCGGCACGCACACGTCCACAGGGTGCTTGAGCCCGTTCTCCAAGTGCAGCGGGGAGCGCATAATCACCTCGCGCACGCCATCCTGCACGCGCACGTGTACGACCAAGCGGACGCACCGTCCGGACCCGCTCGACGTTGTCAGCTCGCACGTGGTCTCGCCAACCTCCGAGATGGCCAGGCCTTGCAGAGGCTGGAACCCGTCGACTTCCAGGCCAATGGCATGCTCGCCGTCACCGGACAGCCGCAGCAGCTCCAGTGCATACAGCTCTCGCGCCTTCTGCTTCCCTGCTTTGGAGATGCGCTTGTGCGTGGGGCCTCCATCGCGGCTGCTGCTTTGCTCGTCCTCATTGTCATCATCAGCACCTTGCCCACGGCCATTGCTGCTGTCTTCCTCGCCAGCATCATCATCATCATCATCATCATCATCACCACCACCATCATCATCATCGGCATTCCTGTCACGAGCACGAGATGATGACACGGTGCCACCACGAGCACCAGCATCGGGGGTCGATGCTGCTGGTGCAGTGTTGATGTGCTGGCTGCTGCCGCGCGGTGTTTGTGGCGTGAGAATCTCAATGGCTGCTGGGTTCACGTCCGCAACCCGGTAACACATGTAACACGCGCGCGTCATGGACAGGTTCTTGTTCAGGTCTGGGAAGAGCACGATGAAGCCGTTGGGGGCGTTGTTGGTGTAGAAGAAGCGAATCTCCACCACGGGTGGCGCGCCTGGCTCTCGTCGGAAGTGCAGATACAGTGCGGCACCCTTGTTGCCCAAGTTCAGGTTCACTCCGGTCGTCTCCCACCCTTCATCTTCAGGCTCGCGCGTGTACCCTGTGTATGTGTGTATGTGTATGTGGGTGTATGTATGTGTGTGAATGAGAACGAATGGTGCATGTGAAGGAGAACACGAGAAGACAAAGAGGAGGTTCTCTCGCTCGCTCTCACACATTTTACTATCACTTATTCGCACCCACCCACACATGCACGCACACACGTGTAAACACCCACACACACCCACACACCCACACACCCACACGTGTACACACACATACACACACACACACACACAAACACACATACACACACACACGTGTACACACACACACACACGAACACAAACACAAACACACATACACACACACACACACACATACGCACCAATCTTGAGGGCGGTGATGGGTTCGAAGCGCGTGTCGGTGGTGCGCAGGAGGAAGATGTTGTCACCACCGGATTTCTCGTTGAGGTTGAATGGCTTGCCGTCATACATGGCATCCCAGTACCTGTGCAGAGCAACACAACGAGAAAAAGCAATACAAGAGTCAGGAGCACGTGCAAGGGCATGTGCAGAGATTGAAACAGGGTGGTAGTGACGGAACAACGCCGTTTCCAACACACACGCAAACAAACACACACGCACGCACGCAAACAAACACACACGCACACGCACACGCATCTCCTTCTCCCTTGTCCTTCCTACCCCCGCCACACGTACACACTACCCCAAAACAGAAACCGTACACAGGGTTGCTGGCGTCATCATCTGGCGGCCCCTGCGGCGCGAGGCGTGCGCCCTTGCGAATGATGGACACGAAGAGGTTGGTGATTGGCTTCTCGCCAGTGACCGTCTTGGGCTCGACAGCAGTCCAGCGACACGGCGCCCGCTTGATGCACAGCATGGGGTTTTCCTTCTTCTTCTGGCCCGCGCTCAGGTTCTTGCGAATCACGTAGAAGCCAGAGGGGATGGACTCGTGCTTGGTGCCGTTGTGATAGATGACCGTCATGTCGATGATGGGGGCGCCGTTGCCGCGGAACACGCTCATGAACACGTCCCGCGCACCCGACGCGCCCGTGTTGAGGTTGGTGGGGATCATGTCGTAGCCGGCAGGGATGGGCTCGTGCACGCCAATCTTGGGCGTGATGCACCCCTTTGTGCCAATGAACGACACCTGCACATCGGTGATGGGCTGCTGGTCCTGGTTGGAACCGTAGCACAGGTACAGCTTGTGCCCGCTGCCTCCCTCGTTGAGGTTCTTCTCAATCATGCGGTAGCCAGGCGGTGGGCGCTCGCCCTTGTTTGCGTCGATGATGACAATGTCGGTGATGGCGGAGGTGTGCTGCTGCTGGCCCTTGGCCATGTACCCCATAAACTGCTGGCGGGCAGAGCCTGTGGACGCGCCTGTGCCCCTGGACTGCCCGTGCATGTCCGACAGCACCTCGCGCTCTGGCGTGAACACCATCAGCTCGCCCGGCGGCACCACGTGCTTGCGCGCCACGTCTGCGCTGAAGCGCCCAGATGGGGTGAAGGCAAGCGTGCGGTCTGTCAGGTTGATCAGCTTGTGCGTGCCGACGCGCCCGCCATGGGCGCCCTTTGTGCTCTTGCCCGTGACGCTGGTGATGCGCATCCACTTTGTGAGGATGTCGGTGACGTGCTGCACGCCCGTGGATGTGACAGTCAAATCCAAGCGGTCCTCGGTCTGCAGGTTGATGTTCAACCCGCCCTCTGCTCCCTGGAAGCCAACATACGACACACCAGCACCTGTTGATCAAGACGTGTGTGTGCGTGCGTGCGTGCGTGCGTGCGTGTGTGTGTGTGTGTGTGTGTGTGTGTGTGTGTGTGTGGTGTAGGGTGTGGGCGGTGAGGGTTATGGTAACTTAGGAAAATGAGAGATGAATGATAAGGCGATCGGTGTAGCCAGACCTAAAGAGGCACGCCGAAACCGTGTGCACCATACATTTACACAACTACAACACAAACACAAGCACACAAACGCACATCTACGTACACACGCACACACGCACACACGCACACACACACTTACATACAACACAAACACAACACAAACACAACACAAGTATACACACACAAACACAGTCACACCTTCTTTGCCGTAGCGGGAGAGAATCTCCCAGCGCCAGTAGCGGCCGGATGCGTTGAACTTTGGTGTCTGCACAGGCGCAACCGTGTGTGTCTGCTGGGCGGCAGAGAGGCGACACGCCTCAACCCAGGGGCCGTTCCTGCTGTCAGACGCAAACAGGCGAGAGTCCTTTGGCTGCAGGTGCGGCTGCCGCACGGGCTGGTACAGGAAGCGCTCAAGCTTGATGCAGCGGCCCATGTCAAAGACAACCACGTGCTTCTTGCGCGGTGCACAGCGCCAGAACGTGTCCACTGTTGGTGTCAGCAGGTTCCTTGCATCTCCGCCTGTTGCGGGCGCGAGCAGAAAGCCCCAGAAGGAAGTGGTGGGAGGATGTGTGTGAGTGCAGAGAGGAAACAAGCTGGCTGGCGTTGCAAGGAACAATCGAAACCTGGAAAGGAGGGGGGCGGGATGCAAGACATTGACGCTGAAAATACAACGCATTTCACATTCACAAAAGTACACGACGGCGTACCCGTTGGGCCGTGGCTGCGCTTGGTCGAACGAGAAGCACTTTGCTTCTCAATGCTCACGTCCGAGAGATCAATCTTACCAGAGTCGCCTCGCTCAACCCTGTCGTAAACAAACAGCAAATGTAAGCGCACGCAAATCGTCAGATAGTGGCGCCGGTGCAGATTGTGGACATGCTGCTGCGCAGATATCGCCACGCACACACATATACACGCACGTACACGCACACATGCACACGCACACATATACATGTGCACACGCACGTACACGCACACATATACATGCACACATGCGCGCACACACACACACACACACACCACCACCACCACCACCACTGACTTGAGGGAGAGGGTGTAGCCTCCAATGACTTCGTCGTCACGCGTTTCACGAAGAAGGATGGGCTCCCAGGACGAATGGTGTGGATCCACAGCAGCAATTGCAATTTGCACGTGCGCATCCGCCACAATGGCGCGTGACCAGTTGGTCACGGTTCCACTGAGCGACGTCGACACACACAGCAGCGGCGCGCGCAGGCCGCCCTTGGTGTTGATGAGGAGAAGGTTCACGCACGGCACGTTTGCCGTCAGCACCTCTTCCGTGACACGCCCGGCCGTCGCCACGCTCACGTCAAGGGACGCCGCCTCCTTTGGCGGCACGTGGCACTGCGGGGAGAGGCGGAACGGAAGCTGGGTCCACTTGCCCGAATTCGTGGTGCTGGTAAGGCGCTCGTACTCCTCCACCAGCGACGTCGCAAACCGCGTCGCACTGCGCACGTCCGCATACGCGAGGTTGATGTTGATGGGGTCGACGTCGAGCGAGATGGCTGTCTTGCCGCCCTGCTGTCGGAAGACGGAGCTCACACAGCAGGGCGCCACGCAGTCCAGCCGCGTGCTCTGGTCATTTCCTTCCCGCGACACAATCAGGAAATCGCTCACTTGCGCATCCACAAACACGACCTCCTCCGTGAACATGGCGTGTGCCTGCAGCACAAAGTCAAGGTTGAACTGGCGTGCCCGACGAGCAATGCTCTCCAGCACCACCACAGTTGGATGTTCAATAGTTGCATCGACACGGAAGCACTCCACGGGCTGTGGCAGAGGGCGCGGCTCCGCGCCTTCCTGCAGCACGTCCTTGACATACGCCGGGTTGCGTGTGGGGTCGGCGCTCGCCACAGGCGCAGCGGCAGCAGCGGGGGAGGATGTTGCAGTGCTGGACGTGGTGACTGCTGCTGAGGATGGCTCAAGCTCCAATTGCTGCTGTTGCTGCTGTTGATCGCGCAACTGCTGTGAGGCTGACGCAGGCCCGCGGCCACTGGTGGTGCTGGTGCTGGTGCTGCTGCTTGAGATGATGAAGAAGCGAAGCAGGCTCTGACACAGCTCTGGCGATACGTACAGCACAAAGCCGCGGAAGACGCCCTGTGCATCGGAGTCGAGCGATGGTCCCAAGTCCACCTTCTTCACGCCCGGGAGTTTGAGCGAGCGCACGCGCTTGATGGCGGCTGCGGCCTCGCGGTAATTGTGCATCCAGCCAATCACCACGCGCACCCCTTCGGGCGCGTTCTGCTGCACAAACAGCGAGCGAATCTTGCCCGTCTCCTGCAGCGGCGCCCGCAGCCTGTCCACGTCCAGTGTCTCGTCACCAACAACGCGAATGGTCTGGCGCCGGAAGAACAGCGAGCCCTCCAGCAGCGCGCGTGACATCCCTGGCGGCGTTGTGAGAAACGTGTAACCGTCGTCGTCAGCCCTGCCTTTGCGCGGCAGCGTGTCGCGGGCTGAGAGAGCAGCAATGGTGACGGACGCAGCAAGCTCGTTCGTTCCCGTTGCGTTCATGGTCACGCGTGCACGCAGGTCCTGCACTGCCAAGTGGGTCAGCTGGTATTTCTTGTCGCGGCAGTTGTCCACACTCACGCCGTCATCAAGGTACAGCGACGCGCTGATCTCTTGCAAGTGCACGGCCATGAACATGGCTGCGGCGTGAGGCGCATCAAGCCGCTCCACATCGACTTCCGGTACCGTCACGCTATCAGCTGCAGTCCCAGCACCCACGTCATCACCGCCATTGCCATCGCCACTCCCGCCCGTCAGCTCGCCACCATCATCGTCGCCGCCACCATCGCCAGCAGCGGCGGCCGTGCTGGACGGTTGCATGAGGGGTGACGCCATGATATTCTCCGCCAGCGTGATGAGCGTGAGGTAGTCTGTCTGTCCGACGGAGACCTGCGTTGCGCCCACGGCCGCGCTGGCCATGACGGCTGCTGCCTCCTGGTTGAGCTCAAAGGTGAACGGCTCCACCTCCTTCACCAGCACCGTCTCGCTGATGATGTCGTTGTCGGTGAATGTGGCCAGCGCCTGGGCTTCCTCGTACATTTCCCGCTCCCCAGCCTGCAGCATCACCTCCACCGTCGTGTCGTCCAGCACTGCGAGCGGGCGCACTTGTGCTGCAAACGCCTTTGTCTTGTTCCGCGCGTCCACAACCGCACGCGCCAGGTTGAGGCCCGAGATCTTCACCAGCATGTGGTTGTACAGCAGCGCGCTCTTGACGTCACGGCCAAGCAGCTCCGGGTCCTTGGAAAATTTCGCATTCTGCACACAGGCGGTGACGTTGTTGGTGACGGTGATGCTGCCCAGATCAATGACAACGGCAGTGGTGTCGTATGGCGACAGGGGCACAACCACGGTCGGCGACGACACAAGAATGTCCACGTGCATGCGCCCGTCTGCTTCTGTATCGTCTTCCACGTCGCCTGCCGCGCTGCTTGTGGCGGTGGTGCTGCTGCCGCTGCGGTCAGCTGCGTCGTCTGCGTTTGCGGATATGTCCTCGAGGGTCGTGAGGACAGGAGCAATGAACTCCAGTACGCCCGCAATGAAGTCCGGCAGCACAAAGATACGCAGCGGCGCTGGGATGGATTATGTGTGCGTGTGAGCGTGTGTGAAGATGTGTGTGTGCACATGTGTGTGTTTAAACATGTGTGCGTGTGCGTGTGTGTGTTAAGATGTGTGTGTGTGTGTGAGAGTAAATTTACGAGCGCGGCGTGCAAAATAAAGTACATGAATGCGGGTAGGTGTGTGTAAAAGCACCTACGCATTGAGGAACACACGAGTCACGCGTGTACCTGCTCGCAGGGAGATGCTAAGGGGAACCTGGCCCTGCTTCGGGTCTGCTTCCAGCAACAGCTGTGTCTGTGTTGAGAGTTAGATAGTGGGAACATTGGAGGTGAAACAGGTTGTCAGATAGACGCTTCATATTGCCTCGGGGCAAACCAACTGGGGGGGGGGGGGGGTGTTCGACCTACCGATCTTTCGAGCGGTTGTGCATGCAATTTTCGCGCGTTCAAGCGTAGGCACACGTGCACACACACACGTGCACACACACACGCACGCATGCGAACAACACCGCCAACAGAACCAACACCGCCATCGCGAGCCAAACGGGTCCGTTGTACTCACGTCGATGAGAGTGTCGGATGCAATGACGTCAATGACGTCCCTGTACAGGTAGCCTTCATCATTCACCACGCTGTGGTTTCGCAAGCGTGGCTGGCCAAGCTGCGCCTGAATTGTGGTCTGCGTGCCGCATTGCACGACGTTTGCGGACAAGTTGTCCACTGAGAGGACAGCTAGGTATGTACGGCCAGTGGCAATGCCAATGTCCAGGCCCGTGCTGTGGAACGCGATGGCCATATCTGTTGGCCTGACGCGGTCGTCGTCGTCATCATCATCGCCTCCGGCTTGCGGTTGCTGTTGGGTGATGGTGGTGGGCGATGCTGTGGTGTCACTGCCAGCAGCAGCGGCGGCCCCAGTTGCCTGCGCAGCGCTGAGCTGCGTGGTGCTCCCTTTGCCGTCGTCCCACGCCAGTTCGGCTTGTGCTGCGGGTGCAGTCATATCTGCGGCGTGGCAGTGAGTGCGTGAGTGCATGCGTGAGTGAGTGCGGGAGTGAGAGAGAGAGAGAGAGAGTGTGTGTGTGTGTGTGTGCGGGGACATGGGTGTGCAGGTGTGTGAGCTTGTGCGCAAGAATATGTGCATGTGCATGGGGGGGGGTTGTGCTCCGCCGTCTGTGCTGTTGGGCGCGTCTACAAGCCCGGTTGTGGAAACTGAGGCTGGACACAGAAGGCAAATATGCACTCATGGCTGCACCAACAGCAATGCGTGTGAATATCCCTTCACGCACCTGCAATCTTCGTCACCACGCCTTGCACGAGCGGCAACGTCGTCTGTGGAGATTTGCGTGCAGCAACCCAGCAGCACCAGCCGTGACAATGTGAATGACGGCAGCGTCAATCGATGGCAACATTGGCAGTTTAAGCTGAGGAAACATACGGCAGGGTATCGAGGAGACAAGCAAGCGAACAGCCCATACCATACACGCACGCGTGTACACACACACAAACGAACACACACACACACACACACACACACACACACACACACAAGCTCCAGCGTGTCGGTGTTTGGCGCACCTTGACGAGGGCGACGGCCGCGTGCTGCTCCAGACTGATGGCGAGGCGCGAAATATCGCCCTGAACTGTCACAAGCTGAGGGGCGGCCAAGGGAAGGTGCATGTGTGTGGTCAATAGAGATGAATAGTCATGGAAAGAGAAGGGTGTGAGAGAGAAAACAACATGGAGACAGGGCGTGCATGTATGAAAATGTGTGTGTGTGTGTGTGTGTGTGTGTGTGTGTGTGTGTGTGTGTGTGTGTGTGCTGTTTGTGTGCTCTCACAACCGGCGCCATACATGTTTGTAAACGCACAGTAAGTGAGCCGAGTCACAAGTGGTCACAGGTAGTCACAGGTGGTCACAGGTGCCCCCCCCCTTCGCCCTCGCACAAGCACGCACCGTGTTGCTGAACGAGGTTTGAAGGTCTGGGTGTTTTGGATCAACAATGGTGGCGCTGAGCGACACAAAGTTTTTGTTGGTGGACTGGCAGGACGCCATGCGCCGCGCTTCGGACGATGACAGCACATCTGGTGTTGTGATGGCATCGTCGCGCGTGTACAGCAAACACATCTCCTCCATGCGTCTTGGGTCTGGCCCAGAGAACACGCCCACATCGATACCGGCAAGCGTGGCCTCCACCACCATGTCGAGCGTGCGTTGGTTCACGTATGCGCTCAGGTCGTACGCTGTGAAGCACAGGTTCTTCTTTCGCCGGCCGTCTGCCAGTGCCTCGTACAGCTGTACCTCCATCCGAGCAATCTGCACATGCGTTATATGCGTTGTGTGGACGGGTTGCATGTGAGAGCGAGAATTTGTGACGTGTGAGGCTGTGTTTGCACTCATGGACGCGCATGTATGTTGAAAGCACACGTATGACCAACAAAAAGACAAGACGCAGGCATGTTCTGAACAAAAAGGCACGCACGTTTACGTTCAGGCACACGCATGCACGCACGCGCGCGCGCACACACACACACACACACACACACACACACACACACTCAAAACAAGCACGCCACGCGCAGTCCACTGCAAGTGGCATTGCACCTTCAAGTCGGCCTGCAGCAGGCGAATGGCAATATCTGACGGTGGCGGCTTCGGCGTCGCTGCGGGACGGAGTTCGCTCGATGCATCCTGGAACTCATCCTCATCATCGTCGTGGTTGTCAGACTTGCTGCTGATGCCAGATGGTGTACGCTTGAGGGTTGGCTTGCGGGACACGGGGGTGGATGCAGCGGAGCTTTGGGCCGCTTCGCCTTTCCCGCTGTCCTTCTTCTTCTTCTTGCTTGCCTGCGTGGCGCTGCCGCCGTTGTTGTTATTGCTGTCTGTGCTTGCAAGGAAGCGCTCAAAGTCATCCTCGACCGACTGCGTGTACCGGTACGCGTCGGCATCAAACGTGCTCGCCTCCGTCCAGACCGCTGCAGAACGTGGTGGTGACGTGGTGGAAATGTTTGAGGATGATGATGATGATGATTGATGATGACGGTGTTGGTGATGATGGTGGTGATGAGAACGAGGTCGCTTGATGTTAGGCGAAAGTGCTAAAAGAAGGCCGAGAATATACGAAAAGTGGCACTGTGTGGCAATAAACAAAGTGCACCAGTGCTCATACTCACCAGCTTGCTCCGTAAGAGCTTGGAGGTCCAAGTCACCTGTTTGTGTTGATGTGAGCAGTAAACCATGAGGGGGAGATGGGGCAAGACAGCGTGTCAGAGTGCATGTGTTGGCATAAATGGGCGCTGTGTGAACACCAGTGGTATAACAAGGTGTGCACCATTGAGCAACTTAAAAAAGGAACACCAATTGTATGGCTTGGATGACTGTGCTTACCGATGAAGGTGCTAGCGAGGGAGAGGAGCGAGAGAACTTGCTGGTCCGACACTCTGCAAGGAGAGTGAGATTGCATTGTTGGAATTCGAGTGGCACGTACGTGTCGATGACAGTTGAATGCAGCAAAGTGTGAGTGCGTGTGTGTGTGCGTGCGTGTGTGTGTCTGTGTGTGTGTGTGTGTCTGTGTGTGTGTGTGTCTCTGTGTGTGTGTGTGTAATCATATTCGATCACATGCAGGTGCGGCGGCAAGGCTGTCTCACCCGACACGGATGTCATCGATGCGGGCGTTGACGGTGATGAAGGGCAGCTGCACGTCGTTCTCACGCAAACACCTGCACACCACAGGCAACGACCACAGGGAAGTAGGTGCATGGGTCACGAAGGAAGCAGCGGAAGGATGCGCTCGACCCTGCATTGAAGAAGACAAAGAATACGCCGAACAACTGCTTGCAAGCAACATACCAGCTTCTTCAATACGCCACACTTCGCTCCCATTTGCACGTCACACATGAGGAGACGCACAAAAAACAACCACTCACTTGCCCACGACGGCGTGGATCTTGGTTTCGTCGACAATGTGCCTTGTGCTCGTTTTCTTCGTCTGCAGCTCGCGCCACTGATCCATGTTGTCCACGAGAAGAACCTGTTGAGGGAACAAGAGGTGGGGAGGGGGTTGATGTGCGTGAGTCAAGGGGGCGGAGGAGCACGTTGATGGGTGCAGAAGGATGTGACGGCTGCAGAAGAATGAAAGACATGAAAGACACACACGGACACACACAGACAAACATACACACACACACACACTCTCTCTCGTGCATGTGAGTGTATGTGAGCGTGGTGGCGCAATTTCTGCTCAGGGCTCGTGGCTTGCGCAACAGCTGTTCGCGGTGCGCACCTTGATTTGCTGAAGATCGATGTTGTACCGGTCGTACATGAGTACTTGCAGATCCTTGAGCGAGAGCGTGGTGGTGTCTGTTGGCTCTTGCAGGGAGCTGTGCACGGCCACTGTACCGAGATCAGCAACTAGCAGCTGTCGTGGGGAAGGATGCAACAACAGCGCAAGCAGGGTGAGAAAGCTTGGTAGCTCACGTAGGCATCGGGCGAACGAACGCGGACAAGTGCAACACACACACACACATACACGCACGCACACACACACACACACACACACACACACACACACACACACACACACACACACACACACACACACCTTTGGTGCATGCTCGACGTCTGTGGGCACGGAGACACTGACGACTGGCGCGCGAATGTTCACGTCAAGTTTCATGTTCTGTTGCAAACATGACGGCGCGTGAGATGAAAAGTGGAGTGGTGTTGCAATGAGGAGCACAAGAAGAGCACCGCAGGCAAGTTAAGGGTGAGAAAGACAACACACCAGACACAGATAAACACACACGCGCACACTGCTTCGTGCCTCCGAACCCTTGTCTTTATCGCCTCCTTCGTTCTGTCACCATGGCACACCACATGGCACCACCACCACCACCACCACCACCACGACAACGGCGACGATGCCCCACCTTGCGGGTGTTGATGGCGTGCTCGAGACCAGCCCGCATCTGCTGCTGCGCGTGCACAAGCGATGCGCTGGTGGCGTCAACAATGTCCGCCGTGTTGATCGTCGGCGGCACCTGGAAAAACTCCACAATGCTGCCAGCGGAGGGGTTGGTTGGTGATGTGAGGGTTGTGTGTGTGTGTGTATGTGGTTGTGTGTGTGTGTGTGTGTGGTTGTGTGTGTGCGTGAGTGTGTGGGTGTGCGTGTGAGTGCGTTGGGCGTAAGCAATGTAACCTGTAGCTGCCACCTGCAACCACAGTCACGAATGACCCCACTGTGCAACACACACACACACACACACAAGAACACAGAACACATACGCACTCCCCAAAGCCACCGATCCCACCTCTTGATGGGCCGCGGCTGGAGCTGGATCATGTGCCCCTGCATCACCAGCTTCAGCGCCATGTCAATGTGCGGCTCGTTTGCCATCGGGATTGGGTTGACATCAAACTGCAGGGAAGTGGCGAGCTGTCCGTCGTCGTCGTCGCCGCCAGCATCACCCATCAACGCCTTGAGCAAGTCCACCATGCGGTTGGTGACCGGGCAGTGCACCTGCGCAAACGTGCGCGAGAGACTCGCCTTGACGCACAGTCCGTCGCCAACGGGGCGCTGGAGGGCATTTGCCGTCAGGTCATCGCACTCAAACTGCAGCAGGCAGTCGCCTTTGCTCGTGTCCAGCGACTGGCGGCGAGCGGGTGAAGTGACAGGAGAGGTTATATGGCGTGTGCAAGAGGGTGAGGTACAGCGAGTGAGGTGTGTTTGTGTGTTTGTGTGTTTGTGTGTTTGTTCATATATGTGTGTGTGTGTGTTTGGCGTGTGTGTGCGTGTGTGTGCGTGTGTGCGTGTGCGTGCTGGTGGGCGCGATTGCTTCCATCGACACAGAAGAACAGGATGGTACGATCCACACCTTTGCGTCTGCAGAGTCCCGCAAGAGACGAAGAACGAGGCTTTTGAGCGCAGCGTTCACAATCGCACCCACATAGTCCGCGTCCTAGATATGTGAGTGTGAGTGTGCGGTGTTGTGTGAGTGTGTGTGTGCGTGTGTGAGAAAGTGAGTGAGTGAGTGAACAAGTATGTCGGCTGCAACCGAGAGTTGACAGCGATATGTAGAACCAAACAACTGCCTGCATGCAATGCAATCTTACCTTTGGCGTTTCGTAGTCTTCTTCCTTTGCCAGCATCTGCACGAGCTCTTTGCGTGACTCGCTGAGCTCCCGCTGAAGACGTGCATGCGTATGTGTGCGCGTATGTGTGTGCGATGCGTGTATGAGGGCGTGAGTGTGTGCGTGTCGCGTAAGCGAGAAGAAGGCAATACATGTTCTATGCCTGAAAACCTGCAGCCGCACAACCACTCGCAAACACAGCAGCCACCCGCAAACACAGCAGCCACTCGCAAACACAACAAGCACAGGCGCACGAAGCACTGTCCAGTTTGCTGCACCTCAATGTCCTCCGATGTCTGAGCGGAGGATGATGACGACGACCAGAACCATGACTTGACCGACTTCATCAGACCGCCACCAAGCGACCGCTTCGGCACCCGCGACCTGAAACAGGGAGGAGAAGGGGGTGCAGATTCGTAAGGATGTGATGTTATGCATGCAGACATGTGCGGGTGGATGTGGGTGGGCAATATTGAGGTGTGTTGATGATTGGAGTGAGGTGATGAGTGCATGTAGGAAGGAATACGTGCAAGGAAGCAGTGGAATAAGCGTTGAGAAACAGCAGGAATGCGCATGCGTTGTGAGTGCGTGGCAAGACAGGTCACCGGCACGCTCACTTTGCAATCTTGCGGTAGAGGCGAATATCGTTGATGGAGAGGCGCTCGTCTTCCTCAATTGCCTTTGCCTGCAGGCAAAATCAGCAAGAGCACAATCAGCAAGAGCAAAACAAGGAAGATGCGCATATTTGGTGTGAAGGCCAGTTTTCACATAAGGTTGACACACATGCATGCAGGCACGGCGTGCCCACTTGTGTATCCACCAGCGCACGCGCATACCCGCTTTGCGTCTGCAGAGCTGGCCTGTCGCTTGAGCACGCGCGTGAAGAGCTCGACATATTCCAGCCGCAGATCCCTGTGGTGAAGGCGAAATGGAGCGGAGGGGAGGTGAGGTGAATGCGGAAAAGTCGCACCTTGAGAGAATACGAAAGGACGCGACACAATGGCTCTCAAGAGTGCACACATCACACGTAGTCTCGCACGCACGCATGCACACACACACGTAGTCTCTCTCTCTCACACACACACACAAGCTCACACACACAAGCTCACACACATACACACACGCACACACACACGCTCACACACACATGCAACGCACCTCCTCTGCTTCATCTTGGCCCACGACCACATGTCGCGCCGCCTGCGCCACCGGCGCGTGATGCTCTTGGCAGCAAACGTCCACCACGCGAGGGCGTGTCCGGAAACCGGAACAGCGGGCCGCAGGCGCTTGTGCTCCTTGCGCTTTTCCGCCAGAGAAAAATGGCTGGCGGAGGACAGGATGTTGAGGAACTGCACGCGGCGCAGGTCTGCACCGATACATATGTGTGTGTGCGTGCGTGTGTGTGTGTGTGTGTGTGTGTGCATGTGTGTGTGTGTGTGCGTGTCCATGTGCGTGTGTGCGTGTGTGTGCATGTGCATGCGTGTGTGTGAGTGCAAAGTGTACAAGTGTGTGTGCCCCTGATGAGGACTTCAATCAAGGCACCGCGTATGAACGACCAACACGACGCACCAAGGCCGATGCTGGGCATGGCAAAGTCAAGCTCAAACTGCGGCGGCCGCTTCCCGTCCGGCGTCACGACCTGTACGAGATGGCCGGCGGAGTTGAGCACATGGACATACATGTGGGCATGTGTGAATGTGTGATGTGTGATGTGTGCACATGCGCCTGACGTGAATGTGTGATGCGTGCGCATGCATATGCACACAGTGTGGGCACCAGGAAAGGACAAGACTTGTCGCGCGTGATCAGCACTGCAAGTATGCGCAAAGCGCCACCGCCGCATGTGCGCAATGTTGACCTTCTTGTTGATGCAGAGCTGTCCGTTGAAGGCGAGCGGGCGCAGGATGTGGTGGTGCTTGTCAAGATTGCTCTGGTCCTGAAACACCTTGTTCATGACTGGGGCAAGCGCGTTGCGTGTGTGCAAAGGCGATTGTGGTTGTGGTTGTGGGTGTGATTGCGAGTGTGATTGTGTGTGTGTGAGTGTAGGCGGCAGTGTCATCGACGTGGATGATGTCTCGAGTGGAGGCTGAAACAGTCAACAGTGCATACTGTGCACAGCCCGGGCACGTGAACACACACCCGCAACCGTGCAATCTCACGCACGCCAACAGCCCCACACACACCTGCACGGATGTCGGCAATGCTCTGCTTGGATGTTGAGATGAGGGCATGTGTGTCCGTGTTGCCATCGAGGTAGATGGACAAGTTCTTCAACTCAAGCAGCTGCATGAACCATGCGTGCATCACGGCACAGGAAACAAACAAGAGCGGTGTGGTGCTCAGAATGTAAGTTGCTGGTTCGTGGAGTGGAAATCCACACCTCCATCAAACCATAAACCAGGCGTGAAGGACCGTCACTTTGGGGCTCATCAGTTGGGAGGTTTCACGTGGCTTGACTGGGGAGAGAAGAGAGGAACAGTCGTGCAGCCAAGACACAGTCTCGCAACCACTGTACATTCACGCGCACACCTCCAACATGAACACATGGTCACATGCACTCGTGCATGTAGGCACACCTTTCGAGCGACGGTGTGCGAGAGCTCCTTCACAGTTGGGCGCCAGTTCGAATCTGCGGAACAAATGGTGATTTCACCCAATGTCACGCCACCAGCAAACGGCGACTGCACAGTGTATGTGTGTGTGTGTGTGTAAGTGTGAGTGCGTATGAAGGTGAGGGATGAGCATGAGCAAAGCGCGATGACATCATGAAGAGAGCAGGGCCACATGTAGGCATCATTGTACGTACGCAGGGCGTGACGGCGCCAGAGTCCTCGTAGCGGAGATGGATGCGCTTCACCGTCACCTGCACTCACACACACACACACACATGGACGACGGCAGCGGGAAAACAAACGGTGAGTGGCGATGCATGTGACAATGTGTCAGCAAAGGCAACGCAAGTGCACACGCACACACACATATATATGCACACACACGCGCACGCGCACGCACACCTGGAGGTTGTTGACGACGCCAAAGACGATCTTGGAGGAGAACAGGTCGTCGTCTGCGCTGGGAGCCTCGTCCCTATGACGACGTTGGCGGCGGTGGTGGTGGTGGTGGGTGAAGGAATGAAGAAATGCACACACAGATACACACACATACACACACACTCTCTCAGCAAGATTGCTGCGAGTACATTCCATTTTTCGTCTCCCCAAAATCATCCTTCTCTGTCCTCCTCCCAGTCCCCTTTGTGTGAATATGGGCAACTGTGTGTGTGTGTGTGTGTGTGTGTGTGTGTGTGTGTGTGTGTGTGTGTGTGTGTGTGTGTGTGTGTGTGTTTGTGCGCACTTGTCGAGGGCGTCGAGCTGGTCCCGGCGCTGCTTCAGCTTTGCTTGTTTCTCCTTCTCTGCATCGTACTGCACACATGACAGCGACGGAGAGGGAATGGACGTTAGTGTGTGTGTGTGTGTGTGTGTGTGTGTGTGTGTGTGTGTGTGTGTGTGTGTGTGTGTTTGTCATTCACGTGGCGGCAGTGCAACGCCTTGTGGTTGATCGTGCATTTGCCAGTGCGCACCTTCTGCTCTTCTGTGGGCTCGACGATGAGGGTCACTGCAGAAGAAGAGTGGACACAACACGCTTGTTGAGCAGCGCACCACCAACACCGGCACTGCACTGTGTGCGTGCACACAAGAACACAAGCAAGGAAAGGAGCATACAAGCACTCACGCGCACACGCACATATAAGCATGCACACACATGTACACACAAACACACACATAAACAAGGACACGAGCATGCATGTACCTTCGTCGAGCGTGACGCGAATTGGTTTGGAAAAGAGGTTCTTCCACGACACCTCCAAGTGCAGCAGCCCGACAACACCTGCAGGATTGGCACAATCACATGTGAGGGCAAGCAGGCGAGAGCGACAGCAAGGCGGAGGGTGCTTGGGATCAGAGGAGCAGCGCTAGCATGTCCGTGTGAGAGATCGAGAGAAGCGTAGCTGAGCAGAAGGAGCAACGCACCAGCAGTGATGGAGATGGGAAGGCCGAGCTCCTTCTGCAACACCTCTTTCTTCAGATGCAGGTTGGTCAGCGTCACCTTGCCTGTGATGCGTTTGGATAGAGAGGAGCGAGGATCAGCGAGACAATGACGTCATGACAAAGACATGCAGTTTGAGGATGTGGTGGCAAAGGTATGCAGAACAACGAGAATGCGGTGGAAACGGCATGCAGTACAAACAGAATGCGGTGGAAACGGCATGCAGTATGAGAACGCAGCACATATGAACGCACAAGCACAACCACGATCACACACACACACACACGCACACGCACAAACACAATCACAAACACACGCCCCCCATACAACGCACCTTCCAGCACGGAGATTTTGAGGGCTGCATCGTCGAGGTTTTGGAAGTAAGGGGCCATGAACTTCTTCATGGCCCAGAAGGCCACATTGGACAGCATGCTGCTGCCACGAGCGGCCCCGCTGTTGCTGTTGCTGTTGCTGTTGTTGTTGTTGCTTGCTGTTGTCTCGTGTCACACAGGGGAGATGCGACTGGTTGCTGCTCCGAATGCTCCAAGTCTTGTCTGTGGCCGATGTGAAGTAACAGTGTAAACAAACGCAGAGCGGAAAAAATGGATGGACGCATTATGAGTGTGGGTGGAGCAATGGCCTGCACCGTCCTTCATGTCATGTCAAGCAAGGCCACAGAGCCACAGCCAAGCAAGGCTGGACAAGGACATATCATCATCATCATCATCAATTCGAAGCATCAAGCACAGCAAAGCAGCGACCTTGCTCGCTTGCTGGCTTGCAAGTCGTCGAGTGTTTGCGTGTGTGAAGTGTGTGTGTGGTGGAAATCCGCGCACTGGTTTGATGGTTGGTCTTGCTTGCTCCTCTCCTTCTTCGTTTTCTTGCAAAGGCAAATTTGACTTTTTCCACAGGTACACAAAGGCAATTTTTGCCTTTGCCACACACCAAGTTGTTGTGCTTGCACTTTGACGCAACGAATGTGAAGAGCCAGGGTGGTGTCCTTCCTTCCTTCTCACTCTCTCTTTGTGTCTCTCTGCCACCACCACACACATACCTTGTTGGTGTTGGTGTCTCGCCTGTCATCAGCACACTGCAAAAGGAACCAGCGACGAATAAGGAAACACACACACAACGCACCCACCCACAACCACACACACACGCACGCAACGCACCGAGCAACAAAGGCACCGCCATCATGCCTTTGTTTGGTTACTATCAGGGCATGACAGCCAAGCAATGGCTGACCATCGAAGGCCCCATGTACATCTTCGTGGTGAGTCTGATTGTTAGTGCCAGTGAAAGGTGTTGGAAGGCAGTGTGTGTGTGTTGTGAGAGTGTGTGTTGTGAGTGTGTATTGTGTGTGTGTGGTGCAGTTTTGGCTTGAAAACGACACCACCTGACCATGTTTCTGTCACTGCACATCACAGGCCATTTGGATGCTGGCCAATGTGTTGTTGTTTGTGTTCACGTGGAAAAAGTACGAGGACGAGGAATACACATACCTACGACACATGACACATGTGAGGCACTGCCTGCTGGTGTAGTGCTGGTGTGGTGTTGTTGTTGTTCCTGTTGTTGTTGTTGTTGTTGTTGTTGTTGTTGTTCTTGTTGTTGTTCTTGTTGTTGTTCTTGTTGTTGTTCTTGTTGTTGTTCTTGTTGTTGTTCTTGTTGTTGTTCTTGTTGCTGTTTTTGTTCTTGCCCTTGCTTTCGTTCGCTGACACGTGCCACTCCTTGATGCTTGATGTCTTGCGCTTGTGCTGGTGTTGTGTTCCTTGGCCGGGTGCAACAGAAAGGGTTGCCGACAGCGAGGGGCGCAGCATCCGTGCTCAATCTCAACTGCGCCCTGGTGCTCCTTCCCGTGTGCAGAAATCTCGTCAACTTCTGCCGCGGCCAGTTTGAGGTGTGTGTGTGTTTGAGGTGTGTGTCTGTGTGTGTGTGTGTGTGTGTTTGTGTGTGGGTGTGTGTTTGTTTGAATGTGTCTGTGTGCGTGTGTGCCGTTTGCTTCGATGTAACCCACTACATTCCACGTGATGCACCACTTTGGCGCTGTTGCTTGCCCCATGCAACCACAACTGCGCACTCACCCGCGTTGCCGTGTTTCGCTGCTCAGAGCAAGCGGTCGATTAGGCGCCTCTTCGATAAGAACCTGTTGTTCCACAAGTGGTGCGCATACATCATCTGCCTCGCATCAGGTAAGCGGGCACACGCACAAGAGCACGTGCAACGGCACCAGCGGCACAAATCTCTTGCACCTCGCACAGAGAAGAATCAGTGGGAGAAGTCAAGCAGAAGCAACGTATTGCTTGCCATCTAATGCCAACTGGGTCGCCTCCATTACTCCCCCTCCGCCACTGTGTTTCACATGAACGTGCGTGTGGCTGTGCACTTGCCCGTGTCCACTCCTGCTCGTGCAATGGCGTGTTGTTACTGATGCCAGCAATCCACATCTCGGCGCACGTGTTCAACGTGCACAACCTCACGCGCGACACCGCCACATATCCACCCGCCTCCGGATACGTGAGTGCCCATGCTGCACTGGAGCTACATACAGGAACGAGAGCAGCACTGCCCTATTGATGACGATGGTAGCGGTGGTGGCGATGGTGGTTGAAATAGATATGCCAAGCATGGCGCACCTCTCGCAGGCACACGCACACATGTGTGCGCTTTATCACTCGTTCCCTCACGCGTGCCTCACGTGTCCCTCATTGACCCCAACCCGTTATTTGCGAGCTCAGACGGACATTGAGGCGCTGTTCACGACGGTTGCTGGCGGCACCGGTATTGGCATCACGCTCTCCCTCATCCTCATGGTCACCACCGCCTCGCCGCAGATCAGGTCGCGCCAAAGTGCTGTGTGGCGATTGCACGAATGGGCGGAGAGGGTGGTGGAGTGAGACAAGGGAGGAGAGTGCTGTTGTGTTGTGTTGTGTTGTGTTGCGTTGTGTGTGTGTTGTGTTGTGTTGTGTTGCGTTGTGTGTGTGTTGTGTTGTGTTGTGTTGTGTTGTGTGTTACCAAATACTCTGTGTGTCTACCTTACAACAACCGCAGCTGGTGCCATGCGCTCACCCTCTTTGACCAATATATGCATGCACGCACTGTTTCACACACATGTGTCGTGTTGCAGGCGGTCGTACTTTGAGCTCTTCTGGTACACGCATCACCTCTTTGTTGTCTTCTACGTCTGCCTCTGTCTCCACGGCAGCTCGGGCTTTGTGGAGAGACAAGTCAACTTTGACCGGGTGAGGGGGCATTGTGGTCGTTGGGGGAGGGGGATGAAGGGTGGCGAGTGTAAAAGGGAAAGAGAATGTGTGTGTGTGTGTGTGTGTGTGTGTGTGTGTGTCAGTGCGTTTAGTGTGTTAGTGTGTTCGTGTGTTAGTGAGACACACACACACACAGACAGACAGACAGACAGCGACAGAGATGGAAACAGACAGACACACACGTTGACACTCCGCTTATCCACCCGTCCTACCAAATGCCGTTCAGGTTCCCTTTGATGAGGACAAGGGCCGCTGTCAACCACGAACGGGCCTCGGCTGCGCAAGTAAGCGCTGTGTGTGTGTGTGTGTGTGTGTGTGTGTGTGTGTGTGTGTGTGTGTGTGTGTGTGTGTGTGCGTGTCTGTGTGTGTGTGTGTGTGTGTGTGTGTGTGTGCATGCGTCGTTTGATTATGGAGTTTGTTTTGTGTCGGTTGGTTCGATTCCTGTGCCCTTGTTCACTCAACACGCCTGCATCCCCACACCACATACCCCCGTGCATCGCCACCACCACCAGCGCGTGATTCCCTGGGTCTGAATCCGGGCCAGTGCCTCAACACCACAAACGTCGAAGGCGTGGACGATCCCTCCGCCTTCTGCTGCCCCTGCGAGGTGCGCAGCCTGTCGTACCGTGCCGTGCTCTGTGTGTGTGTGTGTGTGTCTGTGTGTGTGTGTGTGTGTGTGTGTCTGTGTGTCTGTGTCTGTGTCTGTGTCTGTGTCTTGTGTGTGTGTGTGTGTGTGTGTTCGTTGGTGTATTTCACTTGCCTCGTTGGTTGTGGTTTCTGTATCTGGCTGTACTCTCGACTCCACCCTTTTCTGGACCTCACCACCTCTACTACTCCCCTTCCCCCTGGTTCTTCGTCTGTTGTCAGGATGAACTTGAGGAGCTGCAGAAGGGCTATCCGGCCACGTGGATGTGGGTGATTGGACCGCTGGTCCTGTACGTCCTCGAGCGCATCTACCGCTACTACATGTGCCAGACCCGCAGGCTCAGCATCTTGAAGGTCCACTGCTCTGCTCGTGCGTGTGCGTGCGTGTGTGTGTGTGTGTGTGTGTGTGTGTGTGTGTGTGTGTGTGTGTGTGTGTGTGTGTGTGTGTGTGTGTGACGGTGCAGTCGACCGACATCACCCACTCATCACTTACTGCCTCCGTATTTCCAAGCAACCGCTCACCACTCCCCAATTGCGCCTGCAGGTTGTGAAGCACAAGGACAGCGTGCCTGTGATGGAGATTCAGTTCCAGAAGGTGCCGACAAAGGCCGGCCAGTACGTCTTCCTGCACTGCCCCAAGGTGTCGCAGCTGGAGTGGCACCCCTTCACCCTCACCTCCTGCCCGGAGCTTGATTACGTCAGCCTCCACATCAGGCTCGTCGGCGACTGGACAAGTGAGACGGCTGCAGTAAAGTGGAGTGTGTGTGTGTGGGTGTGCGTCTCTCTGTCTGGCTCTCTGGCTCTCTGTCTGTGTATTTACCTATCTGTCTGTGTATCTGCCTGTCTGTCTGCCTGTCTGTCTGTCTGTCCCTTTGTCTCTCTACCTTCCTGTCTGCCTGTCTGTCTGTCTGTCCGTACGCTCTGCTCTGTATGTGTTGTGACTGTCTTCTCCCACCCCGACCCACTCACCCCTTTATTTCATGACTCACGTGCTTCACGTGTTTCAGCTGCGCTTGCTGAGGCGTGCGGGTTCTACGACGACCAGCCCAAACGGGCGTCTGAACTGCCCTCCGTCGCCATCGACGGGCCCTTTGGCACCTCGAGGTGTGTGTCTGTGTGTGTGTGTGTGTCTGTGTGTCTGTGTGTCTGTGTCTGTGTGTCTGTGTGCGTCTGTGTGTGTGCTTGTGTGTGTGTGTGTGTGTGTGTGTGGTGAAAGAGACGCTTTTTGTTTTGACCCTGTTCTTGCAACACCAGCCATGTTATACTTATACTCCGGCCTTAACGTCATCGTGTTGTCACACCACGACACTTACCAACCTCTCTTTGCATCTCTTCCCCGCCACCTGCAGCGAGGACCTGTACCACTATCCCGTGGCCGTGTGTGTCGGCGCTGGCATTGGCGTCACCCCATTTGCCTCCCTCATCCAGGCCCTCTAGTACGCTGCCTGATACAACGAATGTCGTGTGTGTGTGTGTGTGTGTGTGTGTGTGTGTGTGTGTGTGTGTGTGTGTGTGTGTGTACGTATGTAGTCGTGCGTGCAGGCATGAATCGTCGCATGTCGTGTTACTTCGCCTTGGCCATGGTTCTCACCATGCGCACCATTACCAATGTCATCACCATCGCTTTCCCGATCACAGCTTCCGCAAGTCCAATCCTGGCAAGTACCCGCGTTTCAAGACGCAGAAATTCTATTTCTACTGGATCTGCCCAGGCTTTGATGCATGGGGCTGGTTCGCCAACCTTCTCATGGTGCGTTGTGCAATTGAGGCGAAGAGCACAATCATGCTGGATTGTGTGTGTGTGTGGGGGGGGAGGAACGGCAATGGCACGTGTCGTATCCATATGACGACTCAGCGTTCTCCATTGGCACCCACACACATACACACATACACACATACACACATACACACCTACATACGCATCCCCGTCCACGGTCGCCTGCCTGTGCAGGACATGGAGGAGAAGATGGCTGAGCTCGGCGAGACGTCGTTCTTCACTGTGCGCGTGTTCATGACGCGCGGGTGGACGAAGGACGATGCAGCGAAACTCATGCTGCAGGAGAACGAGGAGGGCGACAGCATCATCCGCGACGCAGAGGTGTGTGTTTTGTGTTTGTGTGTGTGTGTGTGTGTGTGTGTGTGTGTGTATGTTGCGTGTGTGTGTGTGTGGTTTGTGTGCGTGGTTGAAGCGTTCGCTCTCCCTCTTTCATTCGTCTTCTTGTTTGTCTTCTTCTCGCCTGCCTGCCTTCAACACTCCCACGGCCGCGTCAACAACACCTCACCACCACACCACCATGCCACGTGCTTCTCCCTCCTCTTCCCCGCTTGCGCCTCCTCAAGACCGGGCGGTGTCTGAAGCACAAGATGAACTTTGGGCGGCCCATGTGGGAGAAGGAGTTCCAGTCCATCGCCGACGCCCACCCGGGGTGAGAGAGATGCGGAAGAGGGAGGGCGGGAGGGAGTGAGTGGTGCGCATGTCGTTGAGATGTACATTGCGTTGGGTTGATGTACATTGCGTTGGTTGTTGGGTCCGGGCGTGGGTGGTGCTCCTGCTGATGAAACTGCCAAGGGCGCTTTTCAACAACCGCTCACCTCCGTCATCAACGGTATGTTTGTGTCATGCCACAGAAACAACATTGGGGTGTTCTTCTGTGGACCGAAAGTCCTCTCACAAGAGCTCCACCGCCGCAGCAATCAGTTTACTGTCCAGTGCTCTGCACAGGGCACCAAGTTCTTCTACAACAAGGTGTGGTGTGTGTGTGTGTGTGTGTGTGTGTGTGTGTGTGTGTGTGTGTGTGTGTGTCAGGATGGCGGCGTGAACATGGATTGATGCCTGCGCTTTCGGATAGCTGTGGGCCTCTCTCCCTCCCACTGTCCTTCTCTCCCTCTGCCTGTGCTCCTTCGCCCACTCACCCAAACCATCCCATGCTCACCTCTGTGCAGGAAAACTTTTAACGTCGACCATAGCTGTTGTTGTACCCTTGTTTGTGTTCGTAGTCCGTTGTCGATTGCGGCAGCTTGTGTTCTTATTCCGTTGCATTGTCCTCTGCCCTTGCGTGCCCCTCACCATCATCATCCTCATCGTCATCATCATCATCATCATCCCCATCGTCATCTTTGTCTCTTTTCGTCTTCTTCCTTGACACGAAATGACGTGAATGCTCTTTCTCTGCTACCTGATGCATTGCTGCCCCCACGTTTCGATTGCTCTCTTGTATTGTGTGTTGCTTTGTTCGGTTCGTTCAGTTCGCGTGTCTGTTTCTGTTGCCAGCGAGCGTCGCAGGCGACACGCTCCGCTGCGCTCACGCCATACAGGCAACCACGGCAAAAGAGAAAGTGTGTGTGTGTTGTGTGGTGTGGTGTGATTGGGGGAGACAAACAGAGCACAGCAGGCAGTCACACAAAATACACAAGCACACACACACACACACACAACACACGCACGCACAAACCACACACACACACACACACACACACACACACACACACACACACACACACACACACACACACACACACACACACACACACACACACACTCACACACACACACACACAAGCGCAAAAATACACGCAAACTGAACTCAACAACTGGGGATATGGCGGAGGTGCGAGGACAGGCGCTGCTGTGGATCGGCTACTGGCAAGGGTGCAAACGTGAGCGTGTGCGTGTGCGTTGCTTGCTTGCCTAAGTGCATGGGTAGGTGGATGGTGTGGGGCACGGACCTCATGGTGCAAGCGCTGGTGCTGCTGGGTCTTGGCTGTAGGGTGGCATGTGCACACCTTTCAGGTGGAGGGCGACCAACTTGTGATTCGGCCACGAGATGACGAGAGCGCCGGAGAGACACTCACGCTCGACCTCGCCACCTGCGTCATCGAAGGTCTGTCTTGTGTGTGTGTGTGTGTGTGTGTGTGTGTGTGTGTGTGTGTGTGTGTGTGTGTGTGTGTGTGTGTGTGTCTGCATGTGTGTGTCTGCATGTGTGTGTGTGTTTGCATGTGTGTGCGCTGCATGTGTTTGTTTGCATGTGTGTGCGTATGTCTGCATGTGTGTGTGTGTGTGCTTTCATGTCTGCCTGCCTGTCTGTGTGCCTGTCTGCGTGTGTGTCTGTGTGTATGTGTGTCTGTGTGTCTGTACGGGAGTGTGTTTGCATGTGTGTGCTTTCATGTCTGCCTGTCTGCCTGTGTGCCTGCCTGCCTGTCTGCGTGCTTCAATTCCTCCCTGTGCGTGCAGCCCTCCATTCCTATCTCTCCTCTTCTGTGCTTGCACATGCACTCACGACAACGCTGCTACTGACGGCCCAGGCACGGACGACCTTCGCTTCACCATCAAGTCCGGGGAGCAGACGTACCACTTCCAAGCTGGCTCAGAAGAGTGAGTTGCCGTGCACTTGAGAAAGACCGGTGCAGCCTGCGTGCGGTGTTGCTTATGTTGGCTGCATTGGCTGTGGCGTTACTATGTCTCCCCGCCCCGCACGTTTGTTGACATGCGTGCATGCGTGTTGTGGTTAACAGTGAGCGACAACGGCTCGTCGTGAGTCTAAGCAGCGCCAAGATCTTCAGCAAGAGCTGTAAGAGTGCGCATGCGTGTCTGTGTGTGTGTGTGTGTGTGTCTGTGTAGGTCTGTCTGCGTCTGTCTGTGTCTGTCTGTGTCTGTCTGTCTGTGTGCGTGCGTCTGTCTGCCCCCCTTCCTCCTCTGCATGTGGCAAAGTGCAGCGTTGTATGCTTTCTCCGTGCATGCGTTCACAAGCCCCCAATCCGTTTGGCTGACCCACACGTCCGTCTGCCACCAGTGATTGATGCCCAGACCATGCCGGAGCAGGGCGGTGGCGACGACGAAGCAGCAGAAGAGGAAGAGCAGGATGCCACAGTTGATACGGAGCAGCTGCGTGCCCAAATCAAGGTGGAGGGAAAGTGTGTGTATGTGTGTGTGTCTGTCTGTCTGTCGTTCTGTGTCTGTGTTTGTGTGTGTATGTGTGTGTGTGTGTGTCTGTGTCTGTGTGTCTGTGTGTCTGTGTGTGTCTATCTGTCCGCCCCTGTGCCTCTCTGTGTCTGCATGTGTATGACCGTGTCGTTGCCGGCTTCTCTACTCCCCTGGCGCCCATGCACACCCCATTCCACTGACACCTTCACCCTCATGCATCTGTTTTTCCCTCCGCAGGGCATCGTCGATAACCTGCAGCGCTACGTCCGAGCCACCGAGCAGACTCTCGCAAACTTCAAGTTGCCGGTGTGTGTCTGTGTCTGTGTCTGTGTCTGTGCCTGTGTCTGTGTCTGTGTCTGTGTCTGTGTCTGTGTCTGTGTGTGTGTGTGTGTGGTATCTGCCCGTCGGCCTCCTCGTCTGTTGCTTCAACCCTCCCCTCGCCCCTCCGCCTCGTTGTCCCCCCCCCCCACACACACACACAAACACATTCGCGCGCGCGCCTGCCACCGCTCACCCAGCATAATACACATGCACGTGCCTCATCTCTGCAGGCCAAAGCAGCTGTGAAGGCCTCTGAGCTGCACTACAACTTCAACTGCATCATGCAGTCGTGTGAGGATCTCAACAGCGCCCTGGCCGTCGTCTCGGACGTGTCCATTGCCGGTGTCGCCGTGCGCGACGAGAGGCGCCGCTTCCTCCACCCCACACCACAGAAACACCAACACCAACACCAGCAGCCGCAGCAGCAGCAGCAGCAAGTGGAGGCAGCACACGTGCAAGCAGCAGCAGCAACAAACGGCCATTCGCAGGTGGTGACGGCTGGGGAAGATTCGCCAGCAGGGAAAGTTGAAGGAGAAGGTGAAGGAGAAGGAAACAATGCAACGATGGTGACTGGCGATAACGGCGAGCATGCAGAGGAGTCCCGAGCACCTGACGCCCAGCAGCAAAACACACCAGCAAGCACAGCGATGGCAGAAGACGGGCAGCCGACACCTGAACACACACAGCAGCAGCAGCACGCCAACGACGATAACAACAACAACAAGGCAACATTTGCAACACTTGCAGAAGAACCCACCGCACTGGCGAAAGCAGAAGCAGGCGAGAGCGCAGCAGTCACAACCACCACCTTTGATGCAGATGCACCGGCAACATCGACGACACTCATGCAAGAGAGCAAAGAGGAGGGAGAAGAGGAGGACGAGGAGGAAGACGACAACGCGACGTTCTTCCGGACCGTTTCTCCGTCATTTTCCCAGTTTGCAAATCACGCGCCTGGCGCTGGTGCTGTGGACACCCGCACGTTCCTCGACGCCGCCAGGTCCGGGCTGTGCGCTGTGTCCGTGTGTGTGTCCGTGTGTGTGTGTGTGTGTGTGTGTGTGTGTGTTGTGTGTGTGTGTGTGTGTGTGTGTGTCTGTGTGTCTGTGTGTCTGTGTGTCTGTGTGTCTGTCTGTGTGTCTGTGTGTCTGTGTCTGTGTCTGTGTCTGTGTCTGTGTCTGTGTGTGTGTGTGTGCCTGTGTCTGTGTGCGTGATGTAGTGGGTGCTTCCTTCCCCGTTTGCTTGCTTGCTTGCTCCTTCATCGTTCATCGCCCCGCTCGCTCGCTTGCTTGCTCGCTTGCTTGCTTGCTTGTGGCGTCGCAACTCATGTCCACCAACGCATATGCGATCATGTGTGACTGCCGCCGCCAGGGAGATGCTGCCGCTAATTGCGCAGCTCGGCACGACGATGACGCCCGTAAAGAGCGACATTCTGGGAAACATCAAGAAACTCGAGCGCGCATATGAGCAGGATCCACAGGGAAGAGCCACCCTGGACCTTCTCATCCAACACGAGATTGACGCGTAAGCATGCCCTCCCTTGTGTGTGTGTGTGTGTGTGTGTGTGTGTGTGTGTGTGTGTGTGTGTGTGTGTATACGTGTACGTGTGTACGTGTGTGTGTGTGTATGTGTACGTGTGTACGTGTGTGTGTATGTGTACGTGTGTGTGTGTGTGTCTGTGTAAAAGTGTTTGGGAGATTGCATGTGCATGTTGCGCGGTCCAACTGCTCCGTCGTCACGACTGCGTTTCCTTTTCATGCGCACCACGGAACTGTACCGCTTGCCATTGCAGAGGCACGACAACGGCAAAGGATGCTGCTACAGATGCGCTGCTGTGGCTCAGGCGCGCACTGGAGTTTATCGAGCACTTCCTCCTCATGGTCCGATGAATGCGTGGTCACTTCATCCTGATGTCTTGTTGCATCGCACATCTCACTGCACTTGCAGCAGTTGTCGTGGCTGTGGGTGGCTGCCCTGTCAACGACGCTCACAGGCTGTTGCTTTGTTCATTGCTTGTGCATGCTGACATGCGTCCTGTTCCCCTGCAGGTCAGCGAGGGCGAGGACAACCTGGCCAAGGCCGCCGGACACGCCTATGAGATTTCACTTCGCAAGCATCACAACTGGATGGTGCGTTTGTCTGCGCGCGTGTGTGTTGTGTGTCTGTCTGCGTTGTGTGTGTGTGTGTGTGTGTGTCTGTGTGTGTGTGTCTGTGTGTCTGCATCTTCCTCTCTGCGATTTCCCCTCTGTGACTTCCTCTCTGCGTGCTCCTCTGTGTCCGCGTGTCCCCACCATTCGGCCGTATCGCTCCAGCTGCCTGCTGGCCAATCACGCCCCCATTCATTGACAACATGCAATTGTTGCTGTGCAGATTCGGCAAGTGTTCGGCCTGGCCATGCGCTCCCTTCCCGAATACAGAACGTTCATGGACTTCTTGGGCAGCGCAGAGGATGAGCAGGTGCGACGGTGAAATGGAGTAAAGACGTAACGTTTAGTGTCGATGCATGTGTGATGCAGGCGAGGGGTAAAGAAGGTGCATGGGAAGGGGAAGAGTGTGCCACGTTCACTGCGCACTTGCTCACACACACATATGATCTGCTTGCAGAAACTGCGTGATATGCAAGCGTACGCGCTGGGCGTTCGCAACGCTCGCTTGTCTGTGACTGTGCCAGAACCCTGAGACTGTTTGCCTCGCTCTCTTCAACCTTTTCGTTTCGCATTTATAGAATTGCTGTGCAAGCTGACGTTTAGTTGGTTGCTTGTGTGTGTGTGTGTGTGTGTGTGTGTGTGTGTGTGTGTGTGTGTCTGTGTCTGTGTCTGTGTCTGTGTTTGTGTCTGTGTCTGTGGGGGGGGGGGGGGGTGGCTGTGGGTGACTGTGGGTGGCTGTGTGTGTGTGTGTGTGCAAGTAGTCCGTGACACGTGGTTCGGTGTTTGTTGAAACCTGTCCACGAAATTTCGTGCGCAGTCACACCAGCAAGTAAAATGTGACTGTTCTGACACAGTGACACCGATTCGAGCCAGTGTGACACGTTCGCAACCGCTGTCACTGGAGTGACAGGGACGAGATGGACATGGATGTGTGTCATGTGCTGCACACTCGCACACACGCACGGCTGAATTGCATCCAGCAAGCCAGCACAGTAACGACAAGTCCTGTTACAGGAGGACACATCACACAGTTACACTGAGAGAGGTTGACAACACAGTCACAGTGACACACACCTCCAAACAAGAACAGCAAGACAGCAGGAAGAGTAGAAAAGGAGTCGGTTGCATGGCACTTCGAGAGGACTTCGTCCACGCCAGACACTTGTGCACATGCAGCTGCGGTCTTAAGCATTCTCCCAGATACCTTGAACCTGACACGGCAGCATGCTGGCAGCGTGTAGTGTCTCCAACACACGCGTGGTTGTGGGGATGCCGCCGATGCATCCAACGTTCGAGGATGACGACGTTTCCATTATTCACTTCTTTGCTGATGGCGTGCTGGACCATTGGCGCCTCAGGTTTGGCCTGCACCTTGAAGAGCTCCTCGTGGATGATGATGATGATGATGATGATGATGATGATGATGATGATGATGATGATGATGATGATGATGATGATGATGATGATGATGATGATGATGATGATGATGATGATGATGATGATGATGCCCGGTCAGAAGTGTCTTCCGCGGACAGCGACACGCCACCATTGCTCACCACCAGAGAGTTGCTTGAGTTTTACCATGGCACCGTGAGCGAACAAGGCGAGCACGATCGCGTCCACGATTATGGCCACAGTACTGAGGAAGACAATGTCTCCCTCGTGCATCTCGTGAGCTTTGACGCGCCGGGTGCTGTTGAAGGCCATGCTGAACGCAGAGGTAACAACGGTTCAGCATTTTCGTTGTCAAGGCTGCTTTCATTTGAGTTCTCACCCGTCGTGGTATGGAGGCCGCAAGAAGACAACACAGCAGACACCCGCCAACACAACGCCCGCGCACGACAGCACAGGCAAACGTGTGGTTGTGTTCACAAACCCCAAGCACGTGCAGCAACAGACCACCGTACCAGCTTCAAGTGGTTCACCCACGGCATGGACATGCACTCACATCAGCGCAAGATTCAAACCACCATTGAAGCCACTGTATTCAACGGCGAGGACGACGACACAGAGGCCACCAATGACGCTTGCGGCATCGGGTGACGTTGCGTCCTTTGACCGGCAGCCATCGTCCTGCTGCCTTTCGCTGCTGCTGCTCTTGTGTGTGTGTGTGTGTGTGTGTGTGTGTGTGTGTGTGTGTGTGTGTGTGTGTGTGTGTGTGTGTGTGTGTGTGTGCGTGTGTGTGCGTGCGTGTGTGTGTGTTGCTGCTTGTTGCAAGCTGCGTCTTTATTGTTGCTTCGCAAACACATAAACAAGAGTGCACAAGTACTCATCTGTAAAACAGAGCAACATGGTGCTTGCGACAGCGCAACGTTCACATGCAGTGACAACTACATCCCTTGCACAAACGCTGGTGTATCACCCCGCATCACACGCACGCACACACACACACACACATGCGCACACACACATGCGCACACACACATGCACACACACACACACGCACACACACACGCACACACACACACACACACACATACCCCTCAGTCCTACTCCTCATCGTCACTGTCGTTGGGGTGCGTCTCCATGGTTTGCGCTGCACGCACGGCCAAGTCTGTTGGGTCGCCCCTTCGGAGCAGCACGCACTTGTCAAACTTGAAGCCAATCGACTCGAAGCGCGACACGCTGGAGAGGAAGACGCCCATGCGGTTGTCGGCGTGCTTGGCCCACGCCTTGAGGCTGGACACAATGTCAAGCACAGCGAGCGCATCCATGCCAAGCATGCACTCGTCCAGCAGCAAGAAGTTGAGCTTGATGCCCAGGCTCTTCTTCAGCAGCTGGCACGACGCCAGCATCACCGCCAGGCGATAGCGCGCGTACTCCGACGTGCTGAGCGAACTCACGCCACCGCTCAGCTCCTCGTCGTCCCACTTCAGCACGGGCTCGTGCAGCAGCCGCTCAAGCGCCGTCTCAAGCATGATTGAGGAAACATCTTCTTCCCTGCTGTAGTTGCCGCTGCCGTTGCTGTTCTTTGCTGCTGCTGCGCTCGTGGTTACTGCGGCCGACGACCGTGTCACCGACGATGCTGTCGTTGACGATGCTGTCGTTGACGATGCTGTCGTTGACGATGTTGGTGCTCCATCGCCACAGTCGTCATCCCCATTATCATCATCATCGTCCTCGTCGTCGTCATCATCATCTTCACCCGTTCCACCATCATCACCTCTTGCACCACCGTCGTCGTCATCACTGCCAAAGTGGACGGTGAGCCGCTGGCACCGGTACAGCGCCTGGGCCTTTGCATACTCCTTGGCCACGTCGGGGTCACTCTGCACTTGGAAAAACTTGTCCAGCCAGTACTGCACGTGACCCTTCACGCTCTCCACCAGCTTGCCTTGCACCAGCAGCTGGAACGCGTTGAGTCGTGCGTCGTCTGCCCTCGATGTCTCAATACTGCGACGCAGTTCCTGCTGTGTACTCACCCACCTGCTCTTCTCCTCCTCCGCTGTCTGCATGTCACGCTGCAGTTGCTGCAGCTGTTCCTCTGCTGCGTTCAGCTTGCGCTGTTGCTCCTTGAGCTGTGGTCGCTTCTTCTCGAGCTCCTTCTGCGCGCGCTCGCTGAGCGCTTTCTGCTGCGCAATGCTGTTGCTCAGTTGTGTATGTTGTTGCCGTTTCTGCCGCAAGTTTTTGTTGACCTTAGTGAGCTGACCCTCCAGGGCCTTGATCTTCTCCGAGCAGCGTTCGATGGTGGTCTCGCACTCTCGCCTTCGCTCAGCGAAGACCTGAAGACAGTCGTCTCCGAGCGGTTGCAAGCACGTGGGGCACGTGGGCTGGTCCTTTAGCTTTCCACGCTTGCTGGTGAGGCTTGACTTCTCTCTCTTTGCAGCAGCTTGTTCGCCACGTTGCTCACGGATATCATCTTTACATGCGTCCTTGTCTTCCTCCAGCCGCTCAATCTCTGCTTCACAGGTCCGCAGCTTTGCCTCCAGATCTGCAGTTGCAGAGGAGAAGGGCAGCGCAAGGCGTGTGAATGCGGGAGGGGAGTGGCAGCTGGTGAGCAAGCTCGACAAGTTCACGCACGTGCACAGATGTATGCACACACGTTCAAGCAACGTCTAGGTATGCGAACATTTGCAGTCACACACACACATTCGACACACTCACACACACACACACACACACATACAAATGCACACGCACACACATACACACACACACGCACGCACATACAGATGCACGCACACACGCACACACACACACACATACAAATGCACACGCACGCACATACAAACACAAACACACACACACACCTGTTGTGCCGTGCTGGGCTGAACCTGCGGCTGAAGCCACCTCCCGTTCCAAGGCACGCACCTCCTTTTTCAGCTCCTCTACCCTGGTTCGAGCAGAGTCGCATGTCTCCTTCGCGTTCTCACAACATGTCTTGGCGTCTTTCAACTTCCTCACTGCAGTCTCCAGCTGGGCTGCGGCGTTCTTCTCCTCCTTGGCAGCTTCACGCAACTTGTTCTTGACATCTTCGGCTGCAGCATCAAACGCCTTCAAGTCGAGGACGGCAGCAATGGCGCTGCGCGCGGGCTTCGCCCCAGCGGCGCTGGAGGCGCGGAAAAAAGCCGCGTCGCTGAACGGCGTCCAAGCACATATGAGGGGCAGCGCCCACTCAAGGTCCTCGCCACGCCGCAAATTGAACAGCTCACGTGCGATCGCGTCCGTCTTGTTGGATTTGTTGCCTTTGATGATGCGACCACCAATCTCCACTCTGAGCTGCTGTGGTTGCTGTCGCTGCTGTCGCTTCTGCCGCTGCTTCAGCTTGCGTGTCACCCTAAACTCTTGCCCATCCACCACGCCTTTCAAGCGGACGAACGAGTCACCAGCGCTGTTGGGCCGCAGGTTCCCCATATTGCGGTCCTTGCTGTTGCTGATGTGTGGATCGGCCTTCCCTGTCAAGCACCAGATGATGGAGGTGGCGCACAGGAGCGTCTTGCCAAAGCCATTGCTCTGCAGGCCGCCAAGGTCCGCGCCAATGAAGCCCAGCCCCACGAAGCTCATGGAGAACGTTTGCTCGTCGAGGAACGGGCCAAACCCTTTCACGGTCAGGAACTCAAACTTGACCTCCTTTGGTGTGGCGGCTGTGCTGCTGCCGCGTGTTGACTGGCTATCGCCATCCGGCGCCACCAGCTCATGGATTCTGTTCAGATCTTCAAGGGCCAAGCCAGAGGCTGTTGTACCGCCTGAGAGGGCAGTTGAGGCTGTGGCACTTGAGGAAGTTGAGGGTGCGGACGCTGAGGGAGGCGTGGAAGTGGTGAGGGCAGCAGAAGGTGCGGCTGCAGCTCTCGTCGCGTCTGAGGACGAAGGACGTAGACGTGCGCGCTCGCTTTCCAAGATGTCGCGCGCTGTGGCGACGCCCAGCTGCTGCCCCAAGTTTGCGTTCTGGGGATCCCGAATAACCACGCGGATTCGAGTGTCCATCTCCCGGTAGAGCTTGTAGATGGCTGGGTTGTTGTCTGGTGTTGGTTTCTTCCCAAAGAAGAACAAGGTATCTGTTTTCTTGTTCTTGGCCACTTCGCGCACCTGCTTCCAGTCGACTTTTGTATGTGTTTCGTCGAGCAGAAAGCACCGCGACGTGCCTTCTCTCATGTGCTGCCATGTCGCTATGCTGTGGAGACGAACGGCAGGCAAGAAAGAAGGCAAGCGGTGCGCGAAAATGTGGGGTGGAGGATGTTAGTGGAGAAGAAGCGGAGGAGGAAATGAGCGGAGGACACAGGCATGACGCTATGACGCGCTTGCGTTTAAACAAAACGTCGCAGTGAGGAGCAACGAGGCAGCGGGGTGATATTGACTTACCCTGAATCCATGTCTTCAATGACGGTCTTGAACATGGCGTCGCTTCCCATGGAGGACGGTGGGACTATGAAGAAGAGGAGAAGGTGTGTGTGTTTGTGTGTGTGTGTGTGAGTTTGTGTGTGTGTGTGTTTTTTGTGTACGTGGATATGCAAGAGCACGCGGAAGCAGTCAAATCGGTGTGAGACTTGGTGACAGGTGAGGGATGAGATTGGAGGGGGGTGGCAAACCGCATGCATGCATCCACACACACACACACACACACACACACACACACACACACACACACACACACACACACACACACACACCTGTTTTGGGACGTTTGGAAGCGGGGTTGCCATTGTCACTCTTCATGAGCGCTTGGCGCTGCTGAATCAGCCTGCAAACGATGTGGTCTTGTCCCAGAGCACCAGTGACGCTCTGTCGCAGAGGCTCCAGGTCGCTCTCCTCGCATAAGTAGGGGAGATTGGCATTGGAGTTGGGTGGGCAACGCGTTTCAAGGAGGTGTATGCATTCATCTGTTGAGGCGTTTGTTTTCACCTCAACACCGCATCTGACAAGCAGAAGTTTCGCCTCCAAGTCAGTCAGCTGGTGCTGCAGCTCCTCGACGATATCGGCGTACAAGGACCCTGGTGTCACCGCTAACCCTTCATCCTTTGTTGCCCTTGCGCTTCGCTTTGCTGAGGACATCTCCCGCGCCTGCAGTCTCGCTCTGTGTGTGTGTGTGTGTGTGTGTGTGTGTGTGTGTGTGTGTGTGTGTGTGTGTGTGTGTGTGTGTGTGTGTGTGTGTGTGTGTGTGTGTGTGTGTGTGTGTGTGTGTGTGTGTGTGTGTGTGTGTGTGTCCGCTGACTTGCAACCTTGCCTCCGCTTGCTTGCTTGCAAGCACAAGTTCCTGCGACAGCGGTTTCGCCAATTGCAGTGCAGTTTGCAATTGGCAAATCCCAAGAAGAAGCTGCAGAAAGCAAAGCAAACCAGCACCAACGCACCAACCAACCACCTGTCTCACCCCCATCCTTCCTTAGTTCGTTCCTGCGCATCATCCTCCTCCCCTGTGCGATGCTGCCACAATGGCGTCGCTTGGGGTGCACGAGTGGGCGTGTGTGGCGCAGCAGCTGTTGGACGAAGCCCGCCGCTGTACCAGCAGCATGGACAAGCGCAACGTCGTGCGCGCCCTGTTCAACCTCATGCTCACCTCACGCACCTTGTACCACGACCTGGCCTGGGCCCTGCCAAAGTGGTGCCTCGACGACACGCGCGTGTACAAGGACGTTTCAGCCACGCACTGGCTCGACACCTTCCAGGCTGCTCTTGCGCGCGCGCTTCCACACGCAGGCCTGCGTGCGGAGGGTATTGCTCAGCGTGACGAGGCAGCGACAACTGTGACAACGACGCAGTGTCAAACCTGTCAAACCAACGACGGCGACACCACATCATGTACTTGCAGCCGCACGCAGGGCGACGCGTTGAAGCGTTGCACCTCGAGCTCTGTGTGTGGCCGCAGCGATCGCCTCCAAGCTTGGTTGCAGCAGCGGTTTCTCGTGCACGCTTGGCTTGGCATGACGTGGGAGGCAACCTGCCCATTCCTCTGCGGTGCACGGCAGAGAAACCAGTTCACGCCACGCTTCACCCGGGTATTCGCCAGCGTCGCTCGCATTCACTTCCGCAACGCACGCGAGCTGCGCCTGTGGGTGGCTGGCGGGGCTGCCGTACCATCGCCTGCTGGCGAGCATGCAACCCATGCAGCGGCGCTGCAGAGCTCGGAGCGCACGCGCCCGTGGCAGCATACCACGCCAGGCACATCGTTGCTGTTGCTGCCGGCGTGGTATTCACTGACCACTGACGATCTTGTGGAGGAGCTGGGCCTTTCACAACAGAATCCTGTTGGAGCAGCGTCAGCGCATTCAACCTTGCCTGCAGACACCACCCGAAACGTGCACGTAGACACTGCCACCACTGCGAGCAGTGCTGCTCCACCAGCCGCCACCGCCACGTCTGATGTCACCCCATCTCCCGATCCCCGAACGTCGCTTGTCGCGAAGAGGGCGCTGGAGGTGTTGCAGAGGTACAGGGCTGCTCTGGGCGAGAACACAACAGCAACCTGCGCACGCTTGACGATGAGGGCTCCAGACGACGTGCCACGCCTCTCCTTCCACGACAAGAACCTGAACACGCTACAGCTGACGACGGTCGGCGTCGTTGAGGACATCCACTTTGGTGGTGCGCCCATCAATGTGCTCGAGTGGACCGTGGCGGAGGCGCAAGCGTGGCTTCCCAGCAGTTTCCGCCACGTTCAAGAGGTCACGATCTCGTGCTTTGGCGAGTGCATGCTCAACGACGTGGCTGCACTAGAAAATGTGCCACATGTATACCTGCAGCACTTGCCGCGCTTGCAGGATGTGTCCCCGCTGAGAGGCGCGAAGAAGGTGGTCCTGGAGAGCGTCGGCGTGACGGATGTTGTCGCCTTGCGAGACGTGGAGGACATCACCATCGTCAACTGCGAGCACGTGCAGATGCGGGATGTCACGCTCAACGCCAAGCGCGTGCAGCTCACCTTGCTACCGGTGCAAGGCCCAATCCGCCTTCCACATGCCACCGACGTGACCGTTTTCGCCTGCAACAACCTGCAGCGTGTCGCGTTTGCAGAGGACATGCACCACCTGTCCCTGAACCGGTGTCGGCGGCTGTCTTTCACCCCGTCCTTCAAGCACGCTAAGCACGTGGAACTGGGCATTGTCTTTCCCGCAAGCATGCGCAGGGACCTGTACGAGCGTGTGGACCACCTTGTCCTGTTTCACGAGGCCGGCATCTTGCACCCAGCACACGTGGACGAGTACAACCTCACGGTTGACATCCGCCACGTGTCCTGCGCGTCCGTCAGCGAGCCGCCGCCTGCGTGCGTCCGGCAGCTGGCACTCAACGTCGTTGGGACGCAGCCCTTTGATGTGCAGCACCTCGGCTGCGTGCCCGATCTCTGCATCCGTGGCCACCACGACGGCACGGATCTGCAGCACGCTGACGCCCTGCGTGGCCAGCGCGCCCTGCACCTCACGCGCTGCCGCTTGCCGTCAGGGCACGTGCTCACCGACCACAACATGCTGACCCTGCAGCGCTGCGAAGGGGAAGCGGTGTGTGTGGACAACATCCGGCACTCCCTGCACGTGCAATGCTCCGGCCTGCGCCTGGACCGCGTCAGCAACGTGCCCAGCATCTGGCTCTCCTCCATGTCGGCCGTGCACGTGAATGTGATGCAGAACGTGCACACGTGCCACCTCTGGCTGTGCCGCGTGCAGGACTTTGCGCCCTTTGCCACCGTGCAGCGCGTGCTCTTGGAGGAGTGCCGGTTTGACGAGGACGACGCTACCGGCACCATGCCCGACACCATGGCGTGCCTGCGCATCAACCGCTGCACGACCACAACCACGCGGGCAAGCTGGCCAGACCTCACCCTCATCAACACACCCAAGAACCACATCCTCGCAGCGCTGCGTGGCTGAGGCGGAGTTTCGGGAAGGTTGAGGGGGGGGGGGTTGTGGATGGGCGAGGAATGTGGTGATGTGATGTGTGTGTGTGTGTGTGTGTGTGTGTGTGTGTGTGTGTGTGTGTGTGTGTGTACGGCGTTGACGCTTTGTCTGCTCGGTTTTGTTGATGGTTGCATTGATTCAATGTGACACACCGTACGCCAGTGAAACAGACGCAGACGACAACAAATCGCAAGGACAAAAAAAAAATCGATTGTCCCATATCACTACACGCGTGAAGAAAACAGAACCACTCATCTCAACCGGGTCTCTCAACGACTCTTGTTACCTTCCCCTTTGCTCATCTTGAGACAAATCACAGGAGAGCAGTGCGCAGCTCTTGAAAGGTTGGTCGGTGCGACGGAACTTGGCTCATGCACTCCAAGGACAACGCCCTGTACCATTCAGGCGCCGCTGCGAGTCAAACATGACAATCAAACAAACACATATGAGGTCCTACCACATTCTGCATGTTCTCAGCGTTGTCATGAAACTTGCAAATGTCATGACACTGTTGTCTGCACTCACCTAGCGCACTCGTCGTTTCTGACGGGGCCGGATACACGAGCCGTTTGCCATCATTCAGAAGGTCAAGAAGCTTCGTGAACATCGGCCCACGAAAACCTGGCACCTCCTGTGCAATCAGGTCAGGCACTTTCTGGTTTGCGATTTCCCACATGAGCACACCAAAGCTGAACACGTCAGCCTTTCGGCCATACACACTGCCAACGAGGACTTCTGGCGCCATATACAGTGGAGTGCCCACCCCAGCCGTCAGTGTGAGACCAAGTGTTTGTGCACCCACGTGCTGTGAGTAGGCCATATCAGCCGGTGCCTCTGTGCGTGTTGTCTCTGCACTGAGCCGCTGACGAATGGTGCCAAAGTCCGAAATTTTGGCACGGAGCTTGCTCGACACAAGCACATTGCCGCTTTTCAGATCTCTGAAGGGCAGACAAACAACATGCACGCAGTTCATCATCAGCAGATTGATAACCAACCGAGAGGCCCCACCACAAAAGCGCAAAACACGCAATGCATGCAAGTTCACGTGTAAACACAGCCATGTGTACTCAAAGTCGCCAATGACGCTACAGCTCGACCGTTGCTGAAGGCACACCTGTGCATCTGATCAAGGCTATGGATGAATGCCATGCCACTTGCGATGTCATGGGCGAGGCGTCTCTTCAGCTCCCAGACCGACGCCACATCGACGTCTTCTGCTGATGCCGATGATGTGGTCACGACAACCAGTTCGTGCTCTTCCTCCTCGTTCACCAGCGGGGCGGCTTCTGCAAAGTTGTCATCGCCACCCTCCTCAGACTGAGTCATTTGGTTGGCGTAGTCGGCCAGCAGTTCCTCGAAGTCGCGCTTCAACAAGTCCTTCAAGGAGCCCAGCGGAACAAACTCAAGCACCATGAAGGGCGTGTTCTCTGGCGTTTGCCCCGCACCAAAGAAGCGAACCACGTGCTGGTGACGAGTTCGTTGGAGAAATTCGACTTCCTTTTCAAACTCAGCTTCCATCCCATCATCAAAGAAGTCAACACTCGGTTGCTTCAGCACCTTCACAGCAACGATGATGGAATCCCATTCAGCCTTAAACACGACACCATAGGCACCGCTTGCCAGGCGTCGAATGAGGCGAACTTGATCAAATTTGATTTGCCACACAGAACGCAGTGCAATCACCTCTGCCTCTCGTTCATCCAGCAGGGCTTGACCAAGATCGCGTTGGCTGCGCAAGTGACGCACACGCCTCCTATAACACAGTCGAGTGAGGTAAAAGATGCACACCGGCAATACGGCGAAGACAGAGCCCAGTGCAATCCCGAGCACAGGCGATTTCGTGCGGTGGCATTCACCCTTGCTGTGGTGAAACCCGCTTGCGCACGCACAAATGTGGCTAAAGATGACCTCTGTGGTTGGTAACTCTGCCTGGGAGCGCAAGGCACGCAAACTCTGCAGTTGCAGATTGCAGGCAATTGGAGCATTCTGCATTGCCAGAATGGGAATCGTGTCCCGAACTGGAATTTCATCGCCGCCAATCGTGGTCAACGCTGTGGAAGACACACCGAGTGTCTCCTGCGTGCCGACGCGAACTGCCATCAAGCTACGCAGCTGCCGATTGCCGCTCAGGTCAATCACTGATGCCTGCTCCATGCAGCGACGCAGCATGTCTCTTATCACGAGATCGTCCCGAGCAATGGTTCCACTGAGCAAACCTCGAGCGAAAAGGCGACTGCGGCCTTGGGTGGCACACATTTTATCAGAGAGCGGGATGCGTGTGCCGCTGATATCCAGTGTGTCCACTTTCTGAGCCACAAGTCTTGTCAGGCGCGGGCAGTATGATACATTCAAATACTCAACGTTCGAATCAATATCCACAGATAACATCTGCTCATTCAGCTCCAAGTGCACAGCTTCAAACGTTCTGCCTGCTGGAAGGGTGACATTGGTGAGGAGTGTTCTGGTGAGAAAGAACTCCTGCACGTTTGATGCCAGGGACTCGACAATCGAGTGCAACAAATCACCATCTTCCATACGAGGCCACCCCATGCCAAACGATTGAAGGGTTGCAAGGAGGAATGGAGAAAGATCATCAACTTCTAGATTACGCAAATCCAGCGTCGTGAGATGCTGAAAGTTTTCCTGAATCGCGACCTTTTCTTCTTCACTGTTGATGACAGGCGACACGAGCCGCGCTTGCGACTGTACACTGCCAGCTGCGATCTGCAAGGTCACAAGTTTGGGCTTGTTGACAAAATGTTCAAGACGAACCTCGTGCAGCTCGTGGCCATTAATACTGAATGTTTCCACTTCGATAAGATGATGCACGCCCGACAAGTTGCGTATCGGATTGCCATTCATGTAGACAAATGTAAGTTTGCTCAATCGGGAGAGATCAAGCTGTGTGATGCGATTGTTGGGTGCATGCAGGCGTTTCAGCTCCGCTGCGCTGTGTAAGACCGTCAATGGAAGCATGGGCACATTGTTGTTGGCCAGACTGAAGTGTTGAAGTTGTGGAGAGTCGGCCAGCAACGTTTGGGGCAACTGGCTGATTTGATTCTGGTCGAGGTTCAGAACTTGAAGTGCAATGAGGCCGTCAAAGGTTCCCGAAACAACGGCTGTCAGCGCATTTCCCTGAAGGAAGACTAATTCCAGTTGGGTTAAGCCTTGAAACGTGTTCCTGTGCAGTTGTTCCAGGAGGTTGTAAGCGAGGTGCAATGCTTTCAACGCGCTCAAGTTTGAAAAAATCTTTGGAGGCAGGGTGGTCAGTCGACAATGATCCAACTGCAACCGCTCCAAAACAGATGTGGCGGCGAACAAGTTTTCGGGAAAGGATGCAAGAGGTGTGCGTTGCAGGCTCAATACCTGCAACTGTGTCTGCTTGCTGAGTGTATCGTCAGGCAAGGTAACCAAAGGATTACCATCCAGCAGGAGTGTGTTCAGGTTGGTGAGGGGCGTCAGCAGTGTGCTTTGGATGCTGGTAAGCTGATTCTGGTCAAGTTCAAGCACCAGCAGTTGACCCAGAGGCCGAAACGCAGCTGCTTCAATGGAGGTTAGACCGCAGTTTGTCAGATCCAATGTCTTCATGTTTGGGGTTGCGCCAAATGAGCCCGCTGGCAGCGAAGACAGAGGATTGTCCTCAGCAACGAGCATCTCCAAATTTGGAAGGCGCTTGACGACATTACTCAAGTCCGTTAAAGCGTTGTCACTCACGTTCAAGGTGTGTAATTGGGCATATGTGCTATCTTCCTCGGGAGCCGTGAAACTGGTGAGCGCACCACGATACAGCGTCAACTCTGCAAGGGATGTCATGGTTGTAAAGATCAAATCGAGCGGAACCTCTTCCTGTGGAAGGCCTATGACCTCCATGGAATGTACACGATCCCAAATTGGCTGATCAAGGAGGCACTGGAACTGAGACATGTCAACACCTTCGCGAATGAGAACGTGGACTGCGTAGTTTCGGATACGCTCGCAGAATTCACCATTCCGGCAGAATTGGATGTTTTCATTTGTGCAGGCGGGTGGAAGCAACTGCTCTGGTGGAAAGGTCACTTTCAGCTGAAACTCAACTTGTGGTACATCACATGCAGAGAAAGCAAGATCTCCTAGTGTGCATTCCACCGTGGACAAACTGTCCATCTCTTCTCGCCGCCGACGATGGCGTGTGTGCAGACTTGGTGTGAGGAGATTATCGGAATGCCCTTGTGAGGGTGCGTGGGTCATAGTGTCACGATGTTGATATATGTCCTGATCCTCGAGATGAATCCTGCTGTCAGTTTTGTTTGTATCGGTCGTGTTGGGGAGTGTGACCAACTGGTGGGCGCCAACGTCGCGGTCATTCTGGTGAACCGTGTGTTCCTTCTCACCGCTGCGGTCCTCGAACGTGCTTTGAAAGACTTGCGATACATCTGTGCCTGGTGGGAGAGTAGAACAAAAGTGATGCAGTGCCGTTCGCAATACCCGAAGGTCATGCACGATGGTGGTTGTGTTGGTTGCGGGTTCATTCACCTGATGTGACAAAGCGTCTTGGGAGATCCTCGTCAATGAGGTCTTCGCCAGTGCACACAAAGACAAGTGTAGTTCGCAGCCAACGCGAAGACAAGTGCTTGTGCCTTTCTCTTCAGGTTCGCATAATGATCCTGTGAACAACAGGCTTTCGATGCTTTGATGTGTGTCCGGCGAAGCTGTTCTGTCATCACTGCTTGTCAAGGACATTCCCTGGGTGAACTGACACGTCAGTAACCCTGACATCAGCCACAGCAAGAACAGCGGCGACGCTGTTCGCAGAAAGCGCACCATGGTATGGTGGTCACAGCAGAACTCTGGGAAAGGCTGGTGACAACTCGGGGCCTGTAGACGTTGGTTGTGGCTATGCGGTTGGTGTGGTTGGCCTCTGTGTTGTGTTTGGTGTGTTGTTGTAGTTGTTGTTTGTTGTAGTTGTTGTGTTGTGTTCTTCTTGGAGGAAATGGAGAATTTCGCCCTGAAAACAGGGATCAAATCATTGCAGGTGCAACGTCGAAAATTAGCTACCGTCGTGTTGCACGCAGCTTCTTCGTTTCAGAACATTCCCCAGTTGTCCGGCCGGAAGGCCTTGTCAAAGGGAGTCACATCACCGAAACATGAAACCACCGTCGCACAACACAATCATCACCTCTCGTCCGCACCACGCTCACGTTCGCTGATGGATGGTCAGTATGGGCTTGGTCGTCGTCACGTTTAACTTAAAACGCACGTTGGGTCGCCAGACAAAACCACTGTGAATCATCGCGGACGATGCGCAATGACGAGGAAGCAAGCAAGGAAGGAAGGAAGGGAGGGAAGGAAGGAAAGGAGGGGGAAGCAGCCAATTACGCAACCATCAGCTGCGAGACCGCCTGAACGTAGAGCACGATCAACAGCGCTTCGAACACAGACACACGCACACATACACGAGAGCAGAAGGTGTGGTACATTCGTTGTGGGCGTACGCGCGTGCTACGCGGAGGAGCCACTGCCTTGTTTTGACGCCGTCGGCAGCACGGCCCCCGACTCCTGATGTGAGGCAAAGGAAGATGGAGAGGGTGGTGAGAATGGGCAATGGCAACATAGATGTGTGTGTGTGTGTGTGTGTGTGTGTGTGTGTGTGTGTGTGTGTGTGTGTGAACACCAGGTTGCCTGTTGTGGTATGGTGCGCGGACACAGGATGCGCGAGACAACGGGCCCAGTTACAATACGACAAACACCAAGCAAACGAACATGCGAACCTTGAGCTTGAAATGTGTGTATGCAAAGATGCCAAAGAGGGTGAGGAGAATGCCCATGCTCTGCGATGCGTTCAGGGGATCGTGGAAGATGATGAAGCCGCCTGCAAGCACTGTGCACAGCTTGAAGTGTCCCAGCACATTGTACCTGTGCATGTGTGCGTGCAAGTGAAGGGAGAGGGATGATGAGGACCTTACACAGAGGGAAATCCTTCACCAGCTAGCACAACACACACACACAGACACACAAAGACAAGACAGATACACACAGACACACACACACACACAGACAGGCAGACACACAGACACACAGACACACAGACACACAGACACACACGTGATTGGGGAGGTTTTGCCAATGACGAGGAAGATGGAGAGGTTAACGAGAAACGCCATGATGCTGGAGCCGAGGACAGCCAGCTGACGACCAACAGTAGGCACAATAGGGTGAGGAGAAGGGGTGGTGTGGATGGCACAAGCGTGAATGGCACTTGTTACGCATCGAAGTGCCAGGCGCACACAGAGGCAGGGAATCATGTAGACACACACACACACACACACACACACACACACACACACACACACACACACACACACACACACACACACACACACACACACACACGCACGCACAACGGCACGCACACACGCACATACAACACACACGCAACACAACACACACATACGACTACAACGCACCAGCGCGGGTGCGGACCACTCCTGCGCGAGGACGCCGTACGGCTCAAACGGCGGCTCGACAAACGGGATGATCACCGCCAGCAGACCCGCGGAGAGGGGCGCCTATGCGGTCACACGCAGTGTCAACGATAAGGATGATGGTGGTGGGTGGAGGGTGAATATGGTGCAGCATGAGACATGGAATGGACACTTTGTGCGCGTGCGCGTGTGTGCGTGCGTGCGTGTGCGTAAGTGAATCACTGTCAGAGACGCCAATGACTGTAGCGGCGGCACCCGTTACCTGATAAAAGAGGAGTTGAAACGCAGACACCTCCAGATCCTGCTGCTTCGTCTTCACCCACTGCAATCCGCGCGTGTGTGCGTGCGTGTGTGCGGGTGAGTGTGCAAGAGGTCGTAGGGTATGCTGCACCAGAACACAAAGTAAGGTGTACTGACACAGACACAGGCACACACAGACACGCAGGCACAGACACACAGACACAGGCACATGCACGCAGCCGGACAATTTGGTAGATGGAGGTGACGAGGACGCCGCATGTGGCAAAGAAGAGGCCTTTGCTGTTTGTGGTGACATCGGCCTGTGTCGCTTGAGCCACGCCAATGCACACCAGCAGCTGCAATTCGCAGAAACACCCATGCGCAAGCGCAAAGTGAGCAGACAGGCTCGGAAAAAGGTGGGATCAGCGAACATGCAGCAGGTGCGCATGCATTGTGTTACCTGGAAGGCACACGCTGGCATAAAAACACACACACACACACATCGCACCAGGGACAGTAGAATGGGTTTGGAGTAGGATTGCTTGTAAAAGACCCAGTGAACCAGAACAATGGCCGGCGTTGTCATGACTTTGGCCAGCTGCAAACGACGAGAATGATTCGATGGTGAGGGGATCGCATCACACACAACACGATGTGGAAACGCGCACACAAGGTGACAGGCACGCACACAAGGTGACAGGCACGCACGCAAGGTGACAGGTATGCAGACAGGGAAGCGCCAGACCTGATAGAAGCCAACGGTGTTGTACAGAAGAGAGAGGTTGGTGAAGACAACAAAGCCGCAGAACGCAAGCGAGAGCGGCAACACATCCATGATGCGCAGCCGCTTCACCTGGAAGATGCCCATCATGCTGCACACCTGATGGCCAGCAAAACAAACGAAGCACACACACACACACACACACACACACACACACACACACACACACACACACACACACACACACACACACACACACACACACACACACACAAACCAAGTCCACGGGTGAGATCGGAAGAGCACACGGATTCTAACGCGCATGACGCGAATACACCTGCATTCACAACACAGACTTGAGAGGCAGTACACGACCGACAGCGAGCGAGGTGGCTGGGCGGTCCAAATCGGCGCGCAGTTGCGCATGATGCAAAACAGTGCAGGACACCCACGACTTCATCATGACACCGCGCACGCACTGACCTTCAGGCCAGCAAACGTCATGAGGAAGTGGATCATGGTCAGGGTGATGCTGGGGAACCCATATGTGTATGCCATCTTGTTTAGGAACACGATCATGATGGAGCTCGTGTAGTTGAGCAGCATGAACAGCTGCGTGGGCTGCAAACAGTTGGCGGCAGCCATTGTTGCTTGCTTGCTTGCTTGCTTGCTTGTTGTTGCTTGTTGTTGTGCTTGTTTGGTTGTTGTTGTTGTTGTAGAGGATTATGTGGTGTCGTCACAAAAAATCCAGCCATGTTGTGATGTGCGTGGAGTCGTTTGACATCTTCTCCACCCTTCTTTGCGCCGCTTTCATGCGCTCGTGTGGATCGGTGTGTTTCTTCACTTCATTCTCGCTATGCAACACGCGAAGGAAACAAGTGCAGTCAAACAACAAAGAAGAGGCTAGGCAGGAATGAAGGAAAACCAGTCCGCAACAACAGTAGCATCATCAATCAGCCAACACAGCAACATCAAACACACACACACACACGCACACACACAACACGCACGCAAAAGACAGAGAGCCAAAGAGCCAAAGAGCCAAAGAGCCAAAGAGCCACCAAAGAGCCAAAGAGCCACGGCCATATCACGACACGGCACGGCGACGAACAAACTCTGAGACGCGCGCTCAACCTAAGGAAATCCACCTGGCACCTCAAGGTTCTTCTTATCCTTCTCATCGACAGGAGGAGCAGCAGTCGTGTCATCACTGCCACCACCCTGTTCGGTCTTCACCATCTGCTCTTTTTCTCCACCGCCGCCCTGCGTCTTCTCCGTCGTCTCATCATCGTCCTCGTGCTCCTCCTCCTCCACATCAGAGAGCATGGTATTGCCTGTATCGCGTGCCACCGCCACATCCGTGGCAGAGCCCACAGAGGTTGTGCTGTACACGGATGCGCGCGAAGGCGGCTCGGTGTCACGCGCACTCGTGCTGCTGTGCACGCTCACACCACTGCCGCCATTGCTGTTACCGTTGCTGTTGCTGCCTGTGGTCGCAGGTGCGGCAGTTGTCGTGGCGGGTGTGGTGCCTGCGCGGGTGGTGGGCTGTCGTGACGCCACGCGGGATCCGCGCTTGGAGCCCTTTGGAGGCGTCCGGGATGCCGGATCCTCGTCAATGTACGACGAGAGCAGCCGCAGCTGCGCATCCAGCACCGTCAGCCGGCACGGCGCAGTCACGTCGTCGCCCTCCATATCTAGGCGCGGCCGGGCGCCAGCGACGCCAGCACGCTCATCGCCACCACAGGCAGCGTCATCGTTGTCATCATCGTCAGCATCGTCGTCATCGTCGTCGTTGTTGGTGTCGAGTGCAGGCATGGTGGCTGGCTCAAACGTGGGGATCCCATACACCTCATGCAAGCGCTGGTGGGAGAATGAGAAGGGTGTATGTGTGTGTGTTGGTGTGTTAGTGTGTGAGTGAGTGTGTGTTAGAGTGTGTGGTGTGAGTGGTGAGCTGGGGAGAGCGAAAGCAGAGAGGAAAGCGCATGAATACCTGAACACACAGCACACATGCTTGCACAAATACAACACGCACACACACACCACACACACAACACACGTACACACACACACACACACACACACACACACACACACACACACACACACACACACACACACACACACACACACACACCGAGCTGAGGATGTCGACAGCGTCAATGTATTCGACGGCATTGAACGGCGTAAAACCATCAGAATCCTGCAGGTGAAGGGCACGTGGGTGAAGCACAAGGGCATTGGGGTGCGAGGTGAGGAGGGTTGGCACGGATGCAGTACTCATGGGCGGAGCGATCGTGCAACAAACAAACAAGATGAAGAAGAACACGAACAGAAGAAGAAAAGGAAGATGAAAGGAACAAAAGCAACAACAACAACAACAACAACAACAACAACAACAACAACAACAACAACAACAACAACAACAACAACAACAACAACAACAACAACAACAACAACAACAACAACAACAACAACAACAACAACAACAACAACAGCAGCAACAAGGTAACATTGCATGGCTCGCCTCACCAGATTTGCCGATTCCCTGACAGTGTCAACAGTGGACACAAGCTCAAGCACATCCGCGGGCACGTCGGGTTTCGCGCGCACGCACTCAAGCACCTGATTCACGCGCATATGTATGTGTGTGTGTGTGTGTGTGTGTGTGTGTGGGCACATAGCGTGTGCGGCGGACAGACATCAACGCTGGTGTCAGCACCACAGTCCACGTCCAAAGGTGCAGCAGACACTGAATCCACTGCACAACCCACACGAGAAAACACGACGCGCTCACGACTGCCATCACGACTGCCACAGAACAGGAGCACATGCAAATCAACACCACCGCAGGCAACTCACGCGTTCGACGGCACGCTGGAAGGTGGTGATCATGTCATCCGTGTCGTCGCGTTGGTTCGTCGAATCCGTCCAGCCCTTGTACAGCTCCAGAAACGCCCTGACACACGCACGCACAGCCGGGAGGGATGGGGACGAAGCAGTGATTGTGTGAAGAAGGTGCTTCGTTGAGAACATGAGCGCAGCGTTGACGCCCCTGCTCACACAGCGCTTGCAAGAACGTCGGCCCATTGATGCCAGAACACACACACACACACACACACACACACAAGCATACATGCACACCTATCAGAATACTTTCAACCACACCACACCCCTCCACCACCACCACCACCACCACCACCACCACCACCACCACCACCACCACCACCACCACCAGGGACATGGGCGTACTTGTCGCGGGAGAGGAGCTGCATGCTGTTCTTGTGTGTGATGTGGATGACGGCTGGCGTCTGCATCCACGGCTCACCGTCCACCTGTACGGGCACGGGCTCGTTCCCTTGGATGTTGATGGTGATGCTCTTTGCCTGGCACAGCCGCCGTGGGTTGTACCCGGGCAGCGTCTTCGCTGCAGCCATCTGCTCGCACAGTTGGTCGCCAGGGAAAAGTACGTGTGTGTGTGTGTATGTGTGTGTGTGTGTGTGCGCGTAGGGGAGGAGGGTGAGGAGGGTGAGGAAGACGTGCAGACTTGTGGCTGAAAACGAAAGGGGTACAACTGCGGAACAGCGACCCACATCTCGTGCAATGAGTTGTCATTGTTATCATTGTTGTCATCACCTCTGAAGATCCGCGGACGGCGATCACCTCCAGGTGCTTGTCTTCAAAGCTCTGCGAGTTGAGGCTGCTGGATGAACTTGGCCGGCCCCACTGCACACGCACATGCACATGGTGTGTGAGTCAGTGAGCGAGTGAGTGAGTGAGTGAGTGAGTGTGAGTGAGTGAGTGTGAGTGTGAGTGTGAGTGTGAGTGTGAGTGTGAGTGTGAGTGTGAGTGTGAGTGAGTGAGTGAGTCAATAGGTGTGAGTCAATGAACAAGTATGGGTGCGTGCGTGCTTGCAAGCGCGTACTTGTGTGGCGCCCCACCACTCACCAGATCCACGCCACCCATGTAGGAGTTGATGTTCAAGATGACAATGCCCTGTGAAGTGCACGCACGGGGTTAGAATGAGGGTTATGTGCACGCGTTGGCATCGCTTGGCACGCGCATCTACACATGACTGTCGCTACACTGTCGCTTAAACCCCGCCACTTCACGCTCTCTCACTCACTCACTCACACGCACACGCACACGCACACCCACACACATACACATACACACGAACGAGCATTCGAACCTGCAGCTTTGGCAGCTTGATGACTTTGCCGTCGCACTCGAGTTTGATGCGACGATGGAGATTCTTGCAGGACGGCGCCGCCATCTCACGCGCACCCATCACCCCGTACCACATCTTGTTCTTCAGCCGCGACCTGTCGTGGGCGCATGCACGTGTGTGTGTGTTTGAATGGGAGTGTGTGGGCGAGGGAACGACGATGAGTGGCCTCACAGACAGAGCAGCAACGACTGAACACGTGTTGTTCGCGACAAAGCAAACACACAGACACAGACACACACACACACACAGACACACACACACACACACAGACACAGACACACACACACACACACACATATAGCGTCGCGCACCGCACCTGCACTTCTCTGGATGGTGCTTGCGCAGCTGATCAAAGTCGAGCGCAATCTGCAAACACACATAAACGCATATGAGAGAGGCGTGCCACCATCACCACCGCCACCAGCATCACAACAAATAAGACGACATGGCAGGCGTGTACAGCGGTGTGCACCTTTGCGTCGAGGCCGATGCCAAAGTAGTTGTTCATCACAGACGTCTCTGAGCCCTGGGTCGACTTGAGCTGCCGCTTCACCACTGCACCCGATGGTCGTGTGAAGGCAATGGCACAGGTGGTGAGACAGTTGACACACAAACACAAGCACACACACATACACACACACACACACACAAGCACACGTTCCCATGTTGGTACGCACGTGACATGCCGACGTGTGCGGCGATGAAGACGCTGAGGGTGTCGAGGATGTGCTCCGTTGCCGAACACATGAGCTCAAGCACTCGCCGCTTCTGCCCCGCCGTCACCTGTTACCATGGCGACGGAAGCGAAGGGAACGGGTAAATTGGGGGGGGGGGGTGAGAAGGATCCAGCACGAAGGGAGTGTATGGGATGGAATGTCGAAGCAGGGAAAGCACAGCACGTTTGCACGTTTGAGGGCAGCACAGGCACAGGCACAGACACGCAGACACACACACCAACACACACATGCACGTGCACAGACTCACGGTTGGCCAGATTGGCTTGTGGTAGTCGATGGTCTGGGCGAGGGCGTCTGCGCGTTCCAGCGCCTCCTGCGCCCGGCTTGACGAGTCGCGCGCAAAGCTGGACAGATGCGAAGGGGGGGGGGTATGGTGGAGGTAAGGGGTGGTTGGGTGGGAGAGCGCGGGCAAGGTGCTGTCACTCATCCAATATGCACACACACACACATAACTACGCACGCACACAGACACATAGGCACATACAGACACACAGGCACACACACACACACACACATACATACATACACACACGCACACACACAAAACACGAACCTTGCGCTGAGAGCGACGGTGGACGCGAGCTGTGCGAGGGCGGAGTGCAGGCTGGCCACGGTGATGGCAAGGTGGGCGAAATCGCCACCGGACACGAGCGTGGCGGTGGAGGAGCGCTGGCTGGTTTCGCGGGACATGAACTCCAGCTCGGAGGACCGCCGACTGACGCGGTCGGCAGGGACGCTGGACAGCAGCGCCCGCAGCTCCTCAAGCAGCGTGCTGATGGGCAGGAAGGGGGAGGGGGCGAGAGATGGTGGATGGTGTTGGTGAAGCAAGTGAGTTGTGGCGCGAGCAAGTGGAGCACACACACATACATACAGACACAGAAGACACAGACACATATTCACACACACATACAGACACAGAAGACACAGACACATATTCACATACACATACAGGCACAGAAGACACAGACACACATACATACATATCCACACACACAGACACACACACAGACACAGACACAGACACACACACACACACAGACACACACACACACACACACAAACAGACGCCTCGCGTACCCTCCGAGGGCAACGGCCCTGTGGTAGCCGAGCTTGACGGCGCGCTGGCCCTCCTTGAACGGCTGCCGCTTCGACCGCGCCTGCGAATTGCCGCGACGAAACACCTGATCACCACCACGACAGGTCGACGGCAGGTGATGGTGGTGATGGTGATGGTGGTGGTGATAATGGGAGGTGGATGTGTTCGTGAGTGACGATTGTGTGCAGGTTCTGTATGCTTTATGTTGTGTGTGTGTGCGCGTGTGTGTGCATGCGGTGATGCAGTGCTCATGATGCAACGGTGTGAGGAACAGTAGAGCAGCCAGCAATACGTACGGAGACGGATGAGAAGCGGGGCCGGATGAACCTGCGTGAACCCCGAGAGACCGAGGACGACGGGTGCTGCTGGCTGGACCCTGCACTCAATGCCATTGGAGATCAATTGGGAGAATGCGACACGAGGATCAGCAAAATGATGGGCGATGTCACAGACCCATTTCACATATGCACACACACATACACGCATGCACACACACACACACACACACACACACACATACGAACACACACTCAGAGAGCATGTCGTACCAAGTGAGCTGTTTGGGCTGAGATTTGACGCATCGGTGCTCTGCTTGCCATCGGCTTTTGCACCTTCGTCATCCCCATCCCCACGTTCATCATTGTCATCACCATCGTCATCTTCGGTCACAGTGATGTTCGCACTCGAAGCAGCAGTAGCGCTGTCCTTTGCCACTGAACCTTGTGTTGCTGATGACGATGTTGTTGCCTCGGCCTCTGCAGGGGTGGGCGTGGTGTCTTCGTTGGTGGACGCGGATTCCACCTCCGCTTCGTCGGACTCGACGTCCGGCACCTCGTGCGGCACAATGCGCACGCTCCACCTGATGCAAGTGAGGAGGGAAGAGGAGGAGGGCGAGGGCGAGGAGGTGTGGGTGTCGGTGTCGGTGAGTAATGTACAGGGTTGCGAGAGACACGGGGTCAGATGCAGACCGGGAGATTAGGGGCGGGTAGCAGAAGATAGACACGGACAAACAAACTCGCAAGCAAGCAATCAATCGATCAAGCAAGCAAATATGTACACAAAGAAAGGAAGAAACACACACACAACCAACCAAACAAACAAACAATCAATCAAACAATCAATCAAACAATCAAACAATCAAACAATCAATCAAACAACCAAACAATCAAACAAACAATCAAACACATACACACACCACGAATGCACAGACCTGTCGAGGATGGAGACCTTTGACTTCTCGACGGCGTCGAGGTAGTCTGAGAGATCGCGCGGGTGCGGGCTGTTGTACGCGCCGCCCCACCCAAGCACGCGTGCAAGGTCGTTGCCCGTGCCCAGTGGCAGCACCGCCAGCTGGCAGTTGCGGATGTTCAGCTGCGCAGAGGAAACGGGTGTGTGTGTGTGTGCATGCGTGTGCGTGTGCGTGTGTGTGTGTGTGTGTGTGTGTGTGTGTGTGTGTGTGTGTGTGTGTGTGTGTGTGTGTGTGTGTGTGTGTGTGTGATTGTGACGCTGGAAGCATGCCGCGCCAGGGTAGGGTCTGGGAGGTCGTGTCTGGTAGTTCAGGTGCAGTAGGACTATGTCTTACATTATAAGACAGGTTACAGGGTGAGGAGAAGTGTTCAGGGT